TTTTGGGTAAATTTATTTGGTAAAATCAGAGAGCAGGAGCAAGACATTTCCTGTGTAAAGTCAAGTTCTAGTAAAAACAATAGAACAGAGCCACATATTTCACAGTTCTTCAGATAAACTATAACAAACAACAGAACAGAACAAGTTTAACAAACTCTCCATCTCACTCCAAATCACTAAATCCATTAATTTCTTCATCCTCGGTAGGGATGGGCATGATTAGTCGATTAATCGATAATTGATCATTAAGAATTTCATCGATTACGTAAATTTTAATCAACAAACCGAATGTATGTTGCTGTGTGTATCATGACCAAACAGGTGTGTACATGTGTCTCTGCATCAGAAGGAGCGAGACACAAACAGTCAGTCGTACCGAAGTGCACATGCGTATTTAACGATGACTTGTACAAGAAATTCCACACTTTCCGTTGCGTTCGGGACAAGTGTGAGTCCATGTGCACAGTGTATAAAGCAGCACATATGTTTCGGTGTCCAGTGGGGAAAAAGTTTTTCCAGGTGAGAGTCGCTCAATGTGGATGACGAGGCCCCGCCCCCCTCCCCCCGTACGCTGTCCTGGTTTTGACAAACGCAAATCTGGTCACACTGACCTGTATTCACCTGAGTCATGTCTTTTAATCCAACACAAGTTGAACCACATCAGCGACACAAGAGCTGGAGTTTTATCTTCACTTAGTTTATGTAAATTAGTGATGTGGTTTTAAGTTTTGTTTCTGTGAGATTTGAACAAAACTGAATTAAACACATTATAATGTCAAACAGCTGATGTGGATCTAGAGTCGTTATGTTTATATGTCGTAAAGTTTAATTTATTTATGCAGATTAGTGCAGATAGTAATAATAATGATGATCATTTTAATATAAAAACGTTAATGATTAATCGATCGATCTCTCGACGATCGATTAAGAACATTTCATCGAATGCCCATCCCTAATCCTCGGTGTCACTTCTGAACAACTCGGCCTCGACCTCCGGAGGTAAACAGAGCGACGCAAACTCTTCTGTGTCGCTGTCATCAGACTCAGCATCAGTTCCAGTTAGAATTATTCAGGTCTTTCTGAATCCCGACCAGTGATGCCACTAACGAGCTGCTCAGTAACGAGTTACTGTCGTCCGACTACTTTTTTCAGTACGGAATCGTCTAACCAGTGTCAGATTTAAGTTACTTATCTAATACACTGTGCATTACTATTTTTGCATTTCAGGGCGATATTATTATATTATTATTATATTATTAATTTATTTTTTGCCGATGTGGGTTATGTGACCCCAAAGATCATATAAATCGTCTCTGGTGACACGTTTCCTGTGATGTTACATCAGCTCTGCTTCACCACGAGTCAGATGTAAACACTGGAGGAGAGAGGGACGACTTTTACAGCTGGAAATACAAACAGCTGCAAAAGGTGGGGGATCAGCCGCTGCTGAAAGTAACTAAAAAAGTAACTTGTAATCTAACTTAGTTACTTTTAAAAGCAAGTAGTCATTAACTTAACTACTTTACTTTTTAAAGAAGTAATCAGTAGTCAGTTCAGGAGAATAAGTCACAGGAAACACACAAACCATGAACAAAAGTGACACTTAGAGTCCAGAAAATACAGTATTTGCTTAAATAATAATCTGATGTATTAAAATTTTTCTTTCAATTAATTATTGCTCATGTTAATCATAAGTTTACCTCAGAAATGTTTATTTTTTGTATTATTTTGTGTCTGTGGCTCCTTATTTAAGACGAGTGCAGGTGCATCATGGGAGTGTGGAGCAGAACCAAACAGTTTTTCGACCTCCTGTCACTTTAACTGTAAAAATTTGCCTTTCGTGCATTTTTTTATGTCCTAAACTCTACGTGAATACTCAGTGAAGAGTTTTTAACTGCACTCGGATCACTCTCTCTGGATTTATTAGTATTTATTTTACTTTTTAAAGTCAAATAAAAGGTGGAACAAGTGTCAATCTACGGCTTTACGAATGTTTGGACCTTACAATAGTTTTGTTCGTTAGATTCCACTCTGTTGTTTAAAAATGTGTTCTTTTTTTTATAAACCTGCAAATTTAATCTTAATCAAATTTAAATCTCAATTTGAATGGATGCAAACAGCAAATGACTAAAGACTGCAATTTTTGAAGCGCCATAATTTCCTCCAAAAACAAGAAAAGCTCAGTTTTTGTCCTCGTGAAATCGTCCGACCCTGGAGTTCAGATCTGTACAAATGTTCTGAAATGTGATTCTTGTTTTAGTTTGTCGGTTCACGTTTCAGTTTTTTTTTTTTGTCAGTTCTTCTGGACGCGTTTAAAATGTGAACTTTGAAACTGAAAACCGTGAATAAACAGGGACGGCGCCGGGCATTTTTGGTTGGAGGAGCTATGGGGGTGTGGAGTTCTTCATTGGGGGTGTACGCTTAATTTAGAGGCTTTTATGGATGTGAGCGCAACACCATCTCCCACCACCTCCTCCTACCTCCTCCCTGTTTGCTTTGCTGTTTAAAGTTTAAGTGTGACCCTAATCCCAATATGGAGTTCATGTTTTATTGTAGTAACATTTTTAGTCAAGACTGAATGTTCTATGAAAATGGAGCAAAAATCTTAATGTCCTCTCAAGCCCCGTCAACAATCAGTTTTAACTTTTTCTCAGCGTTTATATGAGTTATCTGAGTTAATTTAACACTTTGGGCCATGTTAATTAAGCAACACTGGACTAAAGTTGATTCATGAGTTGGTTTCACTTGATGTAAACCGTGTGACCTCGCTGCATTAGGATTCGTTCGCTCGACGGGAGGTGAGTACTTTTTTTTATTTAGCCAATCGCTGCTGTTTGGTTGTGACGTTTGTAATGCTCCAAATGTAGGAAGAAGAACAATAACGTCTTTCCCCTTGATGAAATTCACCAAACATTCTCTTTGTTCCGTCTTTAAATCCTCGGGGATCTGGGGAATCGTTGACAACGCAGAATGTCTGGATCTTCACTGATTGGCAGGTGCCTGAACTCACATTTCTGGGGTTCTTGTAAATCGTCTAGTGTTTTCTGATTCCTGATCTAGTTGCTGGAGAGAAATGAAATTGAGCAGAGGCACTAGGTGGTGTCAGCCTGGCTACAAAAGTTCCTGTTTAACCCCAAAATCAAGAGTTATATGAATGTTCTGAAAGTAAACAGATAACACTTTGTAGAGTTATCCTGATTTAGCTAAACAACACACAGAGATGTTTTATTTTTACACTTTATTTTTGTGAATTTAAGATGAAATTATGTATAAAACTGGTTCAAACTGGTTTTCTCTCGTGGGAGTTTGAAGTGGTGGGACTGAAGAACCAAATTAACACTAAGGGAAGTTGGAATTAACTTCAGTCATATCAACTCCCCCAACTCGAACCTCCATTTAACTTTCAAGTAATTAAAATGACACTTTTTGTGTTAAAAACTAAATATTTTACCCTGAAATTTGAACCCTCCAGTTTTTGCTGTGTTGAATCATTATAATAATGACATAGATAAGAATCATCCTGCGGCTCAGCTGCTTAATGAAAGTGTAGAAACAAATAAACCTGTTTGTACAAAGATGGTGTCAAATACAGTCCCACATCCAAACTGTAAAGGTCAAGTTATCTCCAGTTAGTCCATGGCATTTAATAGCAAGGTTATGCTTTTATTTTGGTGACTTCCTGTGTGAGCGGAAGTGAAGGTAAAAACATTGGCTTTGTACACAGAAAAGACGCAAAGTAAACACGGCAACGTTAAGAGTGAAAAACAAAATCAACGGTAAAAGGTTATATGCAGTGTTGGGAAGGTGACTTTTAAAATGTAATCCCCTACAGATTACAGATTACATACACCAAAATGTAGTTTGTAACATAATCCATTAAATTACTTAAAGTGAGTAATGTAATCTGAATACTTTGGATTACTTGATTTGCTGTAGAGAAGCAAAGACGAGGATCGTAACATAAAATGTTTTGTCTGCTAAAAGAAAATAAAAAGTCCAGACTTTACTTATTATTATATTATTGATAGAAGAGGAGGAGACACGTCCACACAGCAGGATTTAGACCTGGTTTAGACCTAGTTTAGATCTAGTTTAGACCTGGTTTTAGTCCTGGTTTAGATCTTGTTTAGGCCTGGTTTAGTCCTGTTTTTGTCCTGGTTTAGACCTTGGCTAGTCCTGTTTTAGTCCTGGTTTAGTCTTGGTTTAGTCCTGGTTTAGACCTGGTTTTAGACCTGGTTTAGACCTGGTTTTAGACCTGGTTTAGACCTAGTTTAGATCTAGTTTAGACCTGGTTTTAGTCCTGGTTTAGATCTAGTTTAGACCTGGTTTAGTTTCTGCCAATGAGTGGAATATCCCCCTAAAAAAAAAAAAAGGAAAACAGGGACATACCGCTGTGTAATCCATTTATTTCAACAAAGTAACTGTAATCCAATTACCACTCACTGAAACAGTAACTGTAACTGAATACAGTTACTCATAATTTGTACTCTGATTACATAACTCCAGTACATGTAATCCGTTACTCCTCAAAACTGGTTATATGAAAAAACCTAAAGATGGCAACAGTCGACAGGGGAACAAGGTTTGTTTTATTTGTAAATGTTTATTTGAGCTTCTTGTTGTTTGTATTGAATTCATGTTAAAATATGGACAACGGTTAAACAATGTAATGAGCTCGTGATGCGGTAATCATATGGTCATTTCTGTTATTTTGTTCTTGTGTTGCTCTTACGTTGGTTCTATGACACGACAAGGAAAAGATTAAAAGGCATTTAACCATCAGTTCTGGATGCTACACAAATATTAATAAACTATATGGTTCAAGTTTCTCTTATTTGACTCCAGAATGGCTCAGTTACGTGCAATTAATGTGAGTAAAAATAAATCTGCTCATTTGTAGTGCAGTTTGCATAAAAAGTGGCATTATTAAAGTGTTATCGACTGATTATTGACGTCCAACCCCAAGTCTGAATAAAGGTGCTGCTCTTTGTCTTTCTCAGGTGTTACTGGTGAGCAGCAGTCGGCACCCGGAGCAGTGGATCGTTCCTGGAGGAGGAGTGGAGCCGGAGGAGGAGCCGAGCGGAGCGGCCGTCAGGGAGGTGTTTGAGGAGGTCAGAGTCTGAAGAACTAACGATATGTGTTTGTGTACCGTAATTACCGGACTATTGAGCGCACCTGAATATAAGCCGCAGAATGTTTTCATGTTCAGGCCGTCTGCTTTTATCGCCTCTGAAAGTTTTTGTCGTCCCACCATCGACTCACTGACGCTGAGCTCACGTGCAGCAGCAGCAGCTCTGTTTCCTTCTTCCACAGACACATCAGTCGACTTTAACTTAAAATCTGCATCGTTTGCATTTCTCCGTGTGTTTTTGATGAGGAGGGTGTGTGTATGAAGCACAAAATAACAGCATCTTCCTCGGCAAATCGTCGCTTCCATGTCTCGCTCTTTCACCCCGACACATCGCTCTACTGCGCATGTCTCCTGCAGAAAGAGCCTCTGTTCTGTCTGTATCATGTCAGTGTCTTGGAGGATTTCAGCAGATTTCAGACTTTCGGGGGTGGGGATACTTAAGATCATTTAAGACGAATCCCACTCCATCCATCCATTTTTTCCCGCGTTATCTGGGGCCAGGTCTCAGGGGCAGCAGTCTAAGCAGGGAATTATTTATTTATTTATTTATTTATTGGATCCCCATTAGTCTTTACTCAGGTAAAGACTATCCTGGGGTCCAAGTTGGCATAATTTACAATAAAATGTTCCATTATAATAATAAAGTTCACACATAAATCCTGTTCCACAGTTTACTGCACTACACAACACCACTACAATTATAATATATCCAATAATTACAATGCGTGACTAATGACTAGATATAATTATATACAATTTCCAATATATTTCTTTAACTTTTTCTTAAAACTTGTTTCCTGCTTGTGAACAGTTAAGGTTTGGGGGAGCGTGTTCCAAAGCTCTATCGCTCTGTACAGAACAGTTCTTTTCAGAGCATTAGTCCTGGGCAGTGGAAGTATAAAATGTCCATGTGAAGCTCGTCTTGTGATAAAACCATGAAGACCACTAAAGGATTCCCAGACTTCCCTTTTCGCACACATTTCCTCCAGCTCCTCCAGGGAGATCCCGAGGTGTCCACAGGCCAGTCCAGAGACTTAGGCTACGTTCAGACTGCAGGGCTTAACGCTCAATTCCGATTTTTTTGTGAAATCCGATGTTTTTGCGAGGTTGTTCACATTTCCAATTAAATGCGACTTGTATTCGATCCCCTGTGTGAACAGTAAACGGCCCAAAAGTGTCCCACATGTGACACTGGAGACACAATGACGTCAACCGCAGCGAGCGTCTCTGTGTTTACGGAAGTTGTCCAAACATGGACGCAGCATCGAGCACCTGGAGATTTTAAAGTTCCTCTCGTACCGGAGCCACAACATGAACAACTGACTTGTTTTAAGGAGGAGATTGAGAAGGAGAAGGACGAGGTTTTTGGTCGTGGTGTTTTGTGGTTCAGTCCGTTGAAAGGAACGTGTGGATGTGGAGACGGAGCCAAGAGTGGTGAGTGGAGATGTGCTTCACTTCAGTGACACTGGAGTTCATTAACAATTTTTGCCTACTTCAGTGCAGAATAGTGACGTTTGTGTCTTGTTGATAACGTGTAGGTGGATGAATGCACTTTGGCCGTTCAGACTGAAGTCACATGTTAAAAGATCAGATATGTATCGGTTTCAGGAGCAAATATCCAAGTGTCCTGGGTCACATTTGAAAAAATCGGATCTGTGTCGTTCAGACTGTCATTAAAAGATCAGATACAGGAACATAGAGACAAAAAATCGGATTTGGGTCACTTCAGGCTGCAGTTTAAACGCAGCCTTAGTCCCTCCAGCGTGTCCTGGGTCTTCCTCGGGGTCTCCTTCTGGTGGGACATGGCCGGAACACCTCTCCAGGGAGGTGTCCAGGAGGCATCAGAACAGATGCCCGAGCCACCTCAGCTGGCTCCTCTTGACGTGGAGGAGCAGCGGCTCTACTCCGAGCTCCTCCCGTGTGCCTGAGCTCCTCACTCTATGTCTCTAAGGGAGCGCCCAGACACCCTGTGGAGGAAACTCATTTCAAGCGCTTGTATCGGCGATCTCGTCCTTTCATTACCCAGAGCTCATGACCAGAGGTGAGGGGAGGAACAGGGACTGACGATAAACATTCATTTAGCATCAGCACCAGCAAAATCTGTTATCGTTACAGGCCTAGAAGGGAGGGTGTGTCTGGGACCGCTGGATTGTCGGCGTGTTCGCAGTGACTCAGTTGTTCAGTCGTGTCTAGAAGCGGCACGTTGCGCTCGCTTTTTAGGTTCGTTCCTCCGTTCCGTTCCTCGTCGGCGTGGAGCGATGAGTGTGTCTGTGGGTGTGTTTCGCTGTGCGGTCGCTGTCTGCTCCGTGTGTGTTTGCGGCTTTGTAGTTTACTGAAGTCGTGCTGGGACCCGAGTGGATTCGTGCTCTGGATTGTGGCGCGAGTGGTCGTTTTTTGTCGGGGTTAGAGGCTTTTGAGTGCGCCCTATAGTCCGGAAAATACGGTAAATATGATTCTAAAATAATCATAGTAAAAATAAAATGTAGATTTAGCTCACACATACCAGAGATCTCACTCACGCTTTTCTGCATCACTCCAGAAAAAAAAACAAAAAAAAAAAACCCAGCTCTGCCTTCGCCGGTTCGTCTTTCCCACAATCAGAGAGTGATTCAGCTCCATGAATAGACTTTTCCCTTTAACGTCAATAACACAGATATTTGGTGCTGGTTTATTTATTTACTGGACTCACCACACGAGACACAGACGGACGATTCTTTTTCTACTGGAGGAATTAGTTGGAGCATTATTTTTATTATTTACCACAAAATGAATTCAGAGGGCTGGGAATCACAGGACTAAACCAGGACTGACCCGGGACTAAACCAGGACTAAACCAGGACTGACCCAGGACTAAACCAGGACTGACCCAGGACTAAACCAGGACTAAACCAGGACTGACCCAGGACTGACTCAGGACTAAACCAGGACTGAACCGGGACTAAACCAGGACTGAACCTGAACTAAACCAGGACTGACCCAGGACTAAACCAGGACTAAACCAGGATTAAACCAGGACTAACCAGGACTGACTCAGGACTGACCAGGACTGAAACCAGGACTAACTCAGAACTGAACCAGGACTAACCCAGGACTAAACCAGGACTAAACCAGGACTAAACCAGAACTAACCCAGGATTGACCCAGGACTAAACCAGCACTGACCCAGGACTGACCCAGGACTAAACTCGGACTAAACCAGGACTAAACCAAGATTAAACCAAGGACTAAACCAGGACTAAACCAGGACTGACCCAGGACTAAACCAGGACTGAACCCAGGACTGACAGGACTAACCAGGACTAAACCAGGACTGAACCGGACTAAACCAGGACTAACCAGGACTAAACCAGGACTAAACCAGGACTGACCCAGGACTAAAACCAGACTGACCAGGACTGAACCAGGACTGACTCAGGACTGAACCAGGACTAAACAGGACTAAACCAGGACTAAACCAGGACTGACCCGGACTAAACCAGGACTAAACCAGGACTGACCCAGGACTAAACCAGGACTGACTCAGGACTGACCAGGACTGAACCAGGACTGACCCAGACTAAACCAGGACTAAACCAGGACTGACTCAGGACTGAACCAGGACTAAACCAGGACTAAACCAGGACTGACCCGGGACTAAACCGGGACTAAACCAGGACTAAACCAGGACTGACCCAGGACTAAACCAGGACTGACTCAGGACTGAACCAGGACTGACTCAGGACTGAACCAGGACTAAATCAGGACTAAACCAGGACTAAACCAGGACTGACCCGGGACTAAACCAGGACTAAACCAGGACTGACCCAGGACTAAACCAGGACTGACCAGGACTAACTCAGGACTAACCAGGACTGACCGGGACTAAACCAGGACTGAACCGGGACTAAACCAGGACTGAAACCGGGACTAACCCAGGACTAAACCAGGACTAAACCAGGACTGACTCAGGACTGAACCAGGACTAAATCAGGACTAAACCAGGACTAAACCAGGACTGACCCGGGACTAAACCAGGACTAACCCAGGACTGACCCAGGACTAAACCAGGACTGACCCAGGACTGACTCAGGACTAAACCAGGACTGAACCGGGACTAAACCAGGACTAACCGGGACTAAACCAGGACTGACCCAGGACTAAACCAGGACTAAACCAGGATTAAACCAGGACTAACCAGGACTGACTCAGGACTGACTCAGGACTGAACCAGGACTAACTCAGAACTGAACCAGGACTAAACCAGGACTAAACCAGGACTAAACCAGGACTAAACCAGAACTAACCCAGGATTGACCCAGGACTAAACCAGGACTGACCCAGGACTAACCCAGGACTAAACTCGGACTAAACCAGGACTAAACCAAGATTAAACCAAGACTAAACCAGGACTAAACCAAGATTGACCCAGGACTAAACCAGGACTAACACACTACACACACAGAATGTTCTCTACTGAATGTGAGTGAATCTCCTCAGACTCATGTGGCCTCCTGCTGTGAGGGGCTCCAGTCTCTGTGGAGCACTTACGCTTTAGTTTTATCTTTAGTTTAGCTACATTTTTCATAAAGCCTCAGTTTCGTGACGCAGATGTTTAATATTTAATCCTTCATGAAGGCTCGCCCCTCGAGACGCGTCATGTCTTTTCGCGAGGTCCTGATGTTTTCCTGCAGGAGTCAGAGCTTTGGTCTTTTGGTCTTTATGAGTGTTTCTTCTGTGCAGGCCGGTGTCAGAGGGAAACTTGGTCGGCTTGTGGGGGTTTTTGAGGTGAGCGTCCACAGTTCATTCCTCTGTCTAAAAACAGAACTCTGTGTTATATGTGATCTATATGTGTGCTATAATGAGTCAAATTAAAAGACTTCATCAAAACTCCCTTTATTTAATGTATAACTGTCTATTCCTTCCATGTATAAAACTACTGTGTGGAAATATGAGGGAATACTTATAAATCAAATATTAATTGATTGATTCATTCATTTTTATTTCGAGTTTGTGCCAAGAGAGAAACAATAATCATGTATACTACATATACATTGTAAACAACAGAAAAGCACATTTCTCGAAAAGGAGGGAAGAAGAAAAACTTATATGAACCCACCTCTGTTCATGACATAGTTTCAAAATGTATGTGGTTGCTTCTGTACATTGATCACGGAACTTAACAAATATTTACATATAGCAAAAATAAATTACATATTATGCAAACAAAATATAATTTTAACCCCGAAACGTTTTCTTTTTTTCCCCATTTTGTACTGTACACATATTATATACATATTATATATTATGTACACACATATTATACATATATACACCATATTTACACATATACACACATATTTCTACTCCAAAAGAAGGTTATTAGGATTATTAATCATGTGAATTACTATGCACCAGCAAATCCTCTTTTTGTTAGGCTAAAACTACTTAATTTTTTTTTTATCTTGTTGACCCGAGTACAGCTGTAGTGATGTACAAAGCCGAGAATCATCTGCTTCCTCCTTGTTTACAGGAGTTATCTGAGCAGAAAGACTCAGTATAACCTTAGAGGAACAGGTATTTAAAAAAACAAATGAAGATAAGAACTAAGAAAAAAAGTGATTGTATTTCTATTAGTTAGTTTATAGAATAACCTGAGTGATGATTTAAAAAACTCTAATACTGTAGAAGCCTTTAAAAAAGAGTATAAAGCAATATGTTTTAAAAGATCTAGAGCTCTGGAATGAATGAATTATGCATTAAAATTTGTTTGTTTTAATTTATAATTTTGTCTCTTATACAATTTCAGTTATAATTTACTGTAATTCTATGTTAACTTGCTGTTCATACACTGTTTTCTTTCTTGGAATTCTGTCGTAGTTTAACAGGGTTTGGTGTTAGAAGTACTTTTTACTTCAGCCTAAACCCGTTCGGTCATGATCTATGGGGTTGTGGTCTATGTTTTGTTTTTGTTTTGTTTTGTAGAGCTGCAAAATGACCGAACAAACTACTACTACTACTACTACTAATGTATGAAATATTATTCTGTCACTGTTCTGCAGCACAATGAAAACAGAAAACATCGGACATACGTTTATGTTCTCACTGTGACGGAGACGCTGGAGGACTGGGAGGATTCTGTTAACATTGGTAAGTCCATTTTTTTTTTTTTCTAACAGAGCTTCAGACAGAGCAGTGTCTCCAGTTAGAATCATCTCCCCAAGTAATAAATTACTGTGATGTGTTGCTTTTTGCTGTAACGCAGTAATGTGGTATTTCAGGGAAAACAATATTAATATTTTAAATGTGAGTAACGCTCGTCACGATGCTTTTTCAACCTGGACTGAAGTGGTGGGTTTTTCTTCCTATAAATTCACTAAAATTACCGTGATATCAGCAGCGATGAAACGCCAGAGACACGCCTGTGTAGACCGTCAGGTGACCACGAGCGAAAGGACCGACGCAGAACTCCGCGCTCCATGGGGCGACGAGCAGCTGACGCCTGATCGTACCTTGCAGACACCCTGCTCCACGGACTCGGGGTTCACTCGGGCGGTCCTAGATTCCAAGTTCTAGTCCAAGATTGGTTTAGTTCTTGTTTAGACCTGGTTCAGCTCTGGTTCAGCTCTGGTTTAGTCCTAGTTTAAACGTAGCGAGGAGACGTTCAGTTTGTCGACTGGACAAAAGTGAGTTTGGTTGAAGACGTTCCTCAGCTCATCCAAGCTGCTTCTTGAGTTCTGGTCAGACGCTGGTGGACACTTCCTTATATCTGCGGGGAGGAAGCAAGGAAGCGTCCTCCAGCGTCTGACCAGAACTGAAGAAGCAGCTTGGATGAGCTGAGGAACGTCTTCAACCAAACTCACTTTTGTCCAGTCGACAAACTTAATTTCTCCTCGCCTTGAATTCTACCTGGACGACTGAGGGATTCTTCACGCCTAGTTTAGACCTAGTTTAGTCCCAGTGTCGTCCTCAGTTCAGTCCTGGTTCAGTTCTGGTTCAGTTCTGGTTCTGGTTCAATCCTGGTTCAGTCCTGGTTTAGACCTAGTTTAGTCCTGGTGTAGTCCTCGGTTCAGTCCTGGTTTAGACCAAGTTTAGTCCTGGTGTAGTCCTCGGTTCAGTCCTGGTTTAGACCAAGTTTAGTCCTTGTGTAGTCCTCGGTTCAGTCCTGGTTTAGACCTAGTTTAGTCCTCGGTTCAGTCCTGGTTTAGTCCTGGTTCAGTCCTGGTTTAGTCCTGATTTAGACCTAGTTTAGTCCTGTTGTAGTCCTCGGTTCAGTCCTGGTTTAGTCCATATACGGCGCAAAACTTCAGCATCTTCTCAGTTATTTTGTTGAACTTGAAAATGCTGCAATAGTCGTGTAATTTTTTTTACATTTTATACACAGTAATATTGTAAAGTAACAGATTACTTTGAAATCACAGTAAAAAGTCACAAAAATAAAAATAACACATTACAGTTTTAAAGTCAGTTGCCCAACAGTGCTGCAGAGTATCAGTGTGTTGAAGTTTTTATTGTTGTGGTTCTTGAGTTGAATCGTAGTTGTAGTAGTTTTTGAACGTGCTCCTTGTGTGTTTGAGGAGATCATTTATAGCTGCTCCAAAATAAGTCTGGACGTGGACGTGGGGCGGGGGGGAGGGTCTCTCTCTCTTCGTCCGTCTCCGTGTCCTCTCTTGCCCCTGGCACCGAGAGGAGACTCACTGCTCCTTATTTAACTCCGTGAGCCTCTGGTGTTTACCATCTGCTCTGAGAATCGCTGGATTGCTGAAATCTTACATAAATATTGTATTGTTCAAAATGACACCACAGCTCTGACAGAGACGAGGTTTTGGTCTGGAGGGTTTATTTAAGTCTGTAACTTTTAAATTCTGTGTGAAATGACTAAAGCCTGATTTCTGTCTGGTGTTTGCTCGTCTGTGGTTTAGACGTTCAAACCTATTTTGGTTCAACAAATATTTACTTTTGTTGTTGATTTTATAATTTAAACTCAAGGTCATTTAGAAGGAAAAGGTGAAGTTTAGGTTAGTTTGTTTGTCCCCGTAGGGAACTTTGTCCTCTGCATTTGACCCATTTTGAGCCAGGCTCGGTCAGGACCTCAGCTGGACAATTTGACTTGTTCTGCCTGTGTTTGGGTTCACTCAGACACAGGGAGAACATGCAAACTCCAAACACACGCACTGTTTGTGGAAACATTTGTCTGTCTAAGACACAGGTGTCAAACATACGGCCCAGGGGCCAGATCCGGCCCTCCAAGACCTTTAATCTGACCCTTGGCTGATTTTCTACTAAAATATTTTTATTATATTTTCTATTAAAATCTTGTTAATTTTCTGTGGTGTTTATCACAGCAGCGTCTCCAGCGTCTCTGTACGTGGCCCCTCCCACCAGAGCAGCACAAATGAAGACTTGTCTCTTTCCAAACGCTCTTAAAGGACGATCGTTTTGACTGTTGACCGTGACACCCTCATCAGAAAAATGTCAAAAATGAGAAAAGCGGACACAGAGTGCAGAATGTTCCAAGAAAAATCGACTTACTCCTATTTGCATACAAGTTAAAGTTAAAACATTGTGTTGAAATTGTATTTTTCTTAAAGTTTCAGGTTGTTCATAATATTATAATATTTTGTAAAAGAAAGAGTTCATCAATTAAAAAATATTTCTGTAATAGATTTGAGTTTCTCTGCATAAATATTTGAACTTATTGTTATTTTTGGGGTTTATATGACATGAGTTTTCTGATCCGGACACTTTGGGATCAAAGTCGGTTGGATACGACCCCCGGACCAAAATGAGTTTGACACTCCTGGTCTAAGAAATCATCCTGAGTTTACAGAGAACATTTTGTATGTGGAGAAACAACAAAGCAAAATCCCGATCCGTTGCTCCACCTCAGTTACGAATTTAAAAAGTCAACGTCCAAAGCGAAAGGCACCAACTGTTCACCAAGAAACACCTTCCACTGCAAAGAGACCAAGACGTGATGTTGCTGTAAAACCACAAGAAAAAGAAAGTGCAGCTCAGTCTGTTTGTCTTCTGCTCCTCTCCATTAACAAACGGGATCCCACTTTGATGTCACTCCCATACAAAATGTTCTCTGTAAACTCGGGATGATTACTTAGTCAGTCAAATGTTTCCTTTTTGGTTCTTCCTGTGGATCAATCCTGCCCATCGCCTTCACCTTTCACTATTTTTCAATTCCGTTGGGAAGAGAAACTGTTTGAACGGAGGTTTGAGTCACACACATCTGATTCACTTTTGCATTTATGAAGTTCACAAACACATTTCTCGAGTCGTTTTCCGCTGTTAGGATCCAACAACCACACAATTACGATGTCCGAATCCCAAAACTAAAATATGACAATATCAGAACCAGAAACAAAAGTGAAATGGTTCAAAAGACTTGAAAAGATCGACTTTGTCAATAGACACATCCCACTGGGAAAACAAACATGGAGGTTTGATGCTCACTTTTTCGGAAAATCCTTCCCAGTATGAATTGCGCAATGACCGGAAGTCTGAGATTCTTGATACGTGTATTGAGAGCTGCACATGACACTAGAGCAGAGCTTTTTTTTTTAAACCTTTGGACCCAAATGACGACGCAATTCTGCCCAATCCTACGAGTGTCACAAATTTCTTACAACATTTTTGTTCTTACAGGAAGAAAACGCAAATGGTTCAAAGTGGATGAGGCCATTCGAGAGCTGCAGAGGCACCGGCCGGACCACGCGCAATACCTCCGGACTTTGATAAAACACTACAGCCCCACGCGCGGCCCTGTCACTGACCCTGTCTGTGGCCCTGTCTGTGCCCCTGCCAACGGAAACTCCACGTCTGAGCACAGCCCGCCGCATTACGAGCTTTGTTCCACAGACTCCGAGCGAGTCAACCGATAAAACGCGAAGAACCGAGAGAACCGACGTGATGCGATCCTCTGAAATGGACGTTTAATCTCACCTCAGTGCCTTTGGATTTGGAATAGATCAGGGAAGAAAGTGCGTTGTTCTTTTGTCATATTTCAAGGTCTAAAAACTGACTCTCGTGAGCGTTAAAGCCATGTTATAATCCTCATCCAAAACAGACCTGGAGTTGTGTTTTTTTGTTTCATTCATACATGTTTGAGTAACTTTTTATTATTATTATTAGTCTGTCTACCTTGTGACGTCATGAAGTGGCACTTTTCATGTTAACAGCTACATTTTACTTTTTATTCACTAGAAATGGGCAGTTCCAGAGCTGAAAGTGTATGTACTTTAAAAACACACTGGAGTTCTTCTTTCCGTTTGACTCTAAATGTGCAGGTTTGTGAGTTAAACTTGTGGGAATGAAACAAAACACAACTCCAGGTCTGTTTGTGATGAGGAAACTACATTATAACAGAGATCAGAAAGTAGTTCTTGCCTCTAGACCAGGTCATGGGCCAGATCTGTGGAGGGGATCCTGCTCACCTGCAACTGAATAAATGCAGAGGGGTGTGTTTAATGCCATACCAGGCAAAGAAAAAACATCTCCATGGAGACTTTCAGTGGCCTCAGTCGGGTCTGATTGTTTTCTTTGACAGGTCAGAGCTGCAGACGGATCTTTACAAACAGATTTAGTAAAACAGTGTGTTTGTCAATGATTATATTCTATTACAGTTTTCTGTCGTAGCTGTTTTGTGACAGGGGTGTCCAAACTTTTACCACCGAGGGCCACAACTCGAAAAACATGTTTGAAGCAGACGACCAAAGACCTGTGGTTTGTGCAGTGAATCATTCAGACGGTGCTTTTCTGCTTCTGCCAGAAAAGCACAGGTTCAGGTGGTTCAGGAACAACCTGCTTTCATAAGAACTGAAACATGAATTTAGTGTGTGTATCACACGGCAGTGTGATGTTTTTGAGGTTATAGTGAGAGTATTATTGCCTGGGAAATCCAGAATGATCTCTGTGTTTTTATACAGATTAGTATCAGTCTGGTCCTTGTGCCCTCTGCTGTGGCTCAAGTCCAAACGTGATCGTCCCATCAGACTTGTTTATTTCAGTGATGCTTGTAAAACTGGAGCTACTGATCGTATATAAAATCAACTTTATCAAGTTGAACAGAGTTTTGTGCTTTGCTCATAAACAGGAAGATTCACCAATGACCAGACTCACATCTCTGTGAAATACTGAAGACGGTTGAGTTCTGGACCCAGGCTGGTAGAACTGCTTAAATTTGCTGTAAAAAGCACTGACTATGATCAGTCAGGTCAGTTCAACTGGACGCCTCAGGGCCAATAAAAACTGGTCTGAGGACCGCGTTTGGCCCCCGGCCCATAGTTTGGACACCTCTGTTTTATGAGATATTGTGAGGAGTATTTTGTATTTTCATGGTCATCTGAAGCAGCCGCTGATGACAACAAACGAGCTGCTGTTTGATAAAGACATCGACAACTATTCACCACTGTAATAAAGTTAGTTTAACTGTATCAGTTACAAAGGCTTAGATTTTTACATTGGTCTCACAATGTGTCTCCTTATAACTTATACGTGCCTTAAATACAACGGTGTCAATGTTCTGAGTGAAGATGTAAGTGGCTGTTAAATCTGTGTTTTCTCTTTAAAATCTAATTAAAAACGACTCTATTCAATCAAAACTTACACTTTCTTCTGTTCAGTATGTCTGGACCTGTGGTCTGGACCCAGGTCTGATAATACAAAATATAGTGTTCCATAAAAGATGAGAAATAAATTTGTATTAAAATTATACTTTTTGTACAAAATTACAGCAATGTTTTTGATAAAATAGACTTGCCTGTGCCATTAATCTCATAAACCTGAGGGGAAATGTTGTGTTCGTGTTTAGTGTTTACGTCGACAGACTTTATTGTAATGATAATTTAAAGATCCTGTGTTACACAAAGTTGAGTGACATGGAGTTTTGTTTTGTTTCATTCACACCTTTTATTATTTCTCTGTCTACATCTCCAAAGCTCAAAATGCTCTGTTCCACCTTGTGATGTCATGAACTTAACAGCTCCTTTTACCTTTAGTTCACCAGAGATTCTGAAATCATCCAGATGATTCTAGTGAAGGTGTGTGGAGTTTAAAAACACAGTGGAGTGTTTTCTGCAGGGTTTGTGTTTTAAACATGTGAATGAAACAAAACACAACTCCAGGAAACATCTTCAGAACAGAGATTAGAGTGGAATATGGGCCTAGGGTGACCAGAGTTTCAAAATTTTAAACTATGACAGACTCGGGTTGTGATGATTGTTGTAAATAAAATGTTAAAGAGTGTGTGAGATTGTTCGTTCTCGTGTCGGTCAGAATCTGAGGAGCTTCTGTCTGTGTTTTTTTTTGTTTTTTGTTCATTCACAAACACGGATTTGTGTATTTTGGTAAAACAAACGACAATTTATGCTCCACTTTAAGGTTGGCAGAATCAGATTAGTCCAAAACTGTGATAGTCCTGGTTTAGTTTTGGTTTAGACCTGATGTAGTCCTGGTTTAGTCTTAGTTTAGTCCTCGTTTTGTCCTGGTTATACCAGATGTAATCCTGGTTTATTCTTAGTTTAGTCCTGTTTAGATCAAATTGCTCCAAAATAGGGACACCTGGGACATTTCTTGTATAAAACTGGGAGTGTCCCGGGTAAACAGGGATGACTGGTCCACTCCTAGTTTAGTCCTGGTTTAGTCCTGGGCTAGACCTGATGTAGTCCAGGTTTAGTCTTAGTTTAGTCCTGGTTTAGACCTGGGCTAGACCTGATGTAGTCCTGGTTTAGTCTTAGTTTAGTCCTGGTTTAATCTTAGTTTAGTCCTGGTTTAATCTTAGTTTAGTCCTGGTTTAATCTTAGTTTAGTCCTGGTTTAGACCTGATGTAGTCCTGGTTTAGTCCTAGTTTAGTCCTGGTTTAATCTTAGGTTAGTCTTAGTTTAGTCCTGGTTTTAGACCTGATGTAGTCCTGGTTTAATCTTAGTTTAGTCCTTGTTTTAGACTTGATGTAGTCCTGGTTTAATCTTAGTTTAGTCCTTGTTTTAGACCTGATGTAGTCCTGGTTTAGTCTTAGTTTAGTCCTGGTTTAGATCTTGTTTTAGACCTAATGTAATCCTGCTTTAGTCTTAGACACCCTATAATGATTAGTGTGTAATATGGGCCTTTAATGTGTAACTTCAAAGATTGTGATTAACAGCTCCTCCTCTCCTCCTTTTCCTCCTCCTCTTCTCCTCTTCTTTCTCCTCTTCTTCCTCCACCTCTTCTCTTCTTCCTCTCCTCCTCCTCTCTTCTCCTCTTCCTCTCCTCCTCCTCCTCCTCCTTCTCTTCCTCCCCGTCCTCCTCTTCCTCCTCCTCCTCTTCCTCCTCCTCCTCTTCTTTCTCCTCTTCTTCCTCCACCTCTTCTCTTCTTCCTCTCCTCCTCCTCCTCTCTTCTCGTCTTCCTCCTCCTCCTTCTCCTCCTCCTCCTCCTCTTTCTCTTCCTCCTCCTCCTCCTCCTCCTCCTCCTCCTCCTCCTCTTCCTCTGACCTGCCCATCCGCCGCTGCTGGTGTCTGGGTTCTGGTCAGGTGCTCCACAGCGACTCAACTTCACATCGCAAAAAAAACAAAACAAACCCGGGCTTTAAGGATCTGAACAGCGCGCACACCGGACCATGCTCAGGCGGATCCTTCAGATGGTGAGTCCGCGTGTTTTCTGCACCCGCGGAAAATCTGCACCGACATTATAAAAATATCACGTTTTATCATTGACACGGGCCTGTTTATATAGCGGCTGTCTATGGTTTTATAGCACGGCGTGGCGCGGATGGGCGGTAACCTTGTCGCTGTTACGCGTAGCGACTGCTCCGGCGTGTCGTAGTACACAAACCGAGTGCACCCAAGGTAGAGAAGCTAGTTAGCCACCACCGCTAACATGAGAGTTTTTTATTATTTATCTCTATTTTTAACATGTCCATCCGCTGTGGTTTGATCAGGAGAAGCAGATACACAAAATAATACGATTGCCGCAGATAATCACGCCATAAAAACGCATTTTCTGGAGCTATCTCTGTTAGCGGTAGCGTCGTCCTCCTCTCCACATGCTAATCTAATGTGGACGTTTCAGCCGCACTCGTGAATGTCAGTGAAACGTTTAAGCTCATTTACGGGATTTTAATGTGAGATTCTCCGTAGACAGGCTTTTATTCAAACGTTTCCCCAGTGGCCTGTCACATGAGTTTCCAGTGGGAGGGTAAACTGACCGTACGAGCTAATCTAGCATGGCATCAAACTACATTTCCCAGGATGCACTGCGAATCTCATGTCAAATCGGGATACAGACGTATGCGAAAGTACGACGGAATATAAGGGTCAGATAAAAAAAAAAAAAAACTTGCTGGCGTTACGAGAATAAAGTAGTAACATTTCAAAATTAAAGTCGTAATATTATGAGAATAAAGTTATAATATTACGAGAATGAAGTTGTAATAAAATCAAAGTGAAAGTGAAAAATGCGGCGGAAGAAGAAACTTGTTTTTCAATATAAAACCAAAAATAAGAAAACGAACAACAATTTTCTTCATTATTTGCGCCTCCGGACTGAACCAGGACTGAACCAGGACTAAACGAGGTCCGAGACCAGACCGGGACTGAGACCGGGATCAGACCAGGATTCAGACCGGGAACAGGACCAGGATTGAGACTGGGACTGAGACTGGGACTAGACCAGGACTGAAAACGGTTTAGTCCTGGTTTAGTCCGGATTCAGTCCTGGTTCAGTCCTGGTTCAGTCCGTATGCGGCGCAATAGTCCTGCATCACATTTTAAGTCACGGAAACGCCGTTTCCCATTTCCGAGACTTAAACCAGGACTAAACTAGGACTAAACTGTTTTCAGTCCTGGTCTGGTCCTGGTCTCAATCCTGGTCTTTCTGGTTTGGTTCCGGACCTGGTTTAGTCCTGATTCAGTCCTTGTTCAGTCGAATGAACGAATGATACACGGATTCTTCTCCTTTACAAAATGCTCCAAATTCTATAAAATAAAAAATAAATATAAAAAAAATAAAATAAAAAATAAATAGTAATAAAATAGTAAAAAAGTAAGTAATACAATTAAAAATAAATAGTAAAAGTGCATTGCATGTAAGATTGTGTATTTTCATGTCAGTCAAATTCTGAGGAGCTTCTGTGTCTGCATTTTTTTTTGCTTTATGGTCATTCACAAACATGGATTTCTGTTTTTTGGCTAAACAATTGACAATTCATGCTCCTCTTTACTGTTGGCAGGGATCAGATTAGTCAAAAACTGTGATAGTCCTGGTTTAGACCTGATGTAGTCTTGGTTTAATCTTAGTTTATTCCTGTTGTAGATTAAATTGGTTGAAAATAAGGACACTTGGGACATTTCTTGTATAAAACCGGGACACATAAGTGGTTTTGTGTAAATCTGCTTGGACAGGGGACAAAACTGGGACTGTCCCGGGTAAATAGGGACGTGTGGTCACCTTACGGTAAATCCATGTGTCTCTGAACAAGACTAACGTTACAGTACTGACCTTTGGAATCACTACGAGGTGTGTGGGGTAAACTGTGCAAATGGTCAATAATTTCTTCAGACAAACAATAACAGAACCACTCCATATTGAAACTTTGAAATTGTTAGGCTCTCTCACGACTAACGTGAGTCAGTATAGTCACGTTTTCTTTGTGTTTTGGTCATTTTTAGCCTTGTTTTCTTTAGTTTACCTAAACAAATGACATTTTATGCCTCTCTTTACTGTTGACAGGGATCAAATTAGTCAGAAATAGTTACACCTTGGACATTTGTTGTATAAAACTGGGACAAATCAGTGGTTTTGTATAAATCCGCTGGGACAGGGGACATAGGCTCAAAACTGACTGTCCCAGGTCAATAGAGATGTCATTTTTTTCAAATTTTTCTTGAGTTTTTAGAAAATGTTTTAACTTTTTTTGGCTGTGATCACCCATGTGTGCATTGTGTCACCACGGTAACTGAACATTCCACCATAGAGATACATGTAGAACCCCCCCCCTCCCAGTATAATGTCACTACAAAGAATCAATGAATACAATAGAGTCAGTCCCCTATGAGCCATCTCAGATTTGGCTGAATTTTTATTTTTGTTTATTTCTAAAGTCACCAAATGAAAGAATCTCAAATTTTAGTTCAATCCCTTGAGTTGTTCCTGAGTTACGGGCCGTTGAAATTTTGGGGCCAGGTTCACACTTTTTTGGAAGCCTTAATTTATAATCATGTTTGAGAGACCATAACTTCATAAAAAATAGAATTAGGAAGCTGAAAATTTGGAATATTGTAGATTCTTGGTCATAGTTTCTGAGTCTGTTGTCAAATATTGTGTATCTTTCTGAAAGGGGGCGCTGTGGGTCCCCAAAATCTCACATTTGGTTGCCGCAAAAAAATTTTTTTCAATTTTGGAGGTCCAAGATCTGTTTACTCCAAGCAGATATTTACAAACTAACTGCTGAACCTGAATATTTGAGAGAATGACCATTTCTGACACAAATCTCACACTTTTCTGAGCTTTCATGTGGATGGTGTAGAGTCCCAAATATGGACACAGACCAAATGTGATCTTTTTGGCCCCTTCTTTGGACCCTCGGTTCTCCATCTGGGCACAGTTAGATGTTGATCAAATTTTTACCAGAGAAACTGTGGCATATTCTGATTAGTTAAAATTAATAAAAACATCTACTATTAACTTCCTTCATTTCAAACTGAATTTTTAAAAATGAGCTCTCACAGGTCATTTTTGGTGCAGCTTAGGTTCTTTTCCACCTGCTGGAAAGGTTAAATTACCTTTAATAGACTTAAACACTATTTGAATCAACAATAATACAGATTTTCATTGAGATTGTGAGATTGTTGTGAGAAATGTTCATTCTCTCAAATATTCAGGTTCAACAGTTAGTTTGTAAATATCTGCTTGGAGTAAATAGATCTTGGACCTCAAAAATTGAAAAAAAATATAATAATTGAGCAGCAACCAAATGTGAGATTTTGGGGGCCCACAGCGCCCCCTTTCATAAAGATACACAATATTTGACAACAGATTCAGAATCTATGACCAAGAATGTACAGTACTACAAATTTTCAGCTTCCTCGCTCTATTTTTTATGAAGTTCTGGTCTCTCAAACATACTTTTACATTAAGGCTTCTGAAAAAGTGAGCATGACCCCAAATTTTCAACGGGCCATAACTCAGGAACGACTCGAGGGACTGAGCTAAAATTTGAGATTCTTTCATTTGGTAATTTTAGAAATTTGTTGAAAATTTTTCAGCCAAATCTGAGATGGAGAGGAGATTCCTTGAAAACTGCTGATTTCATATGGACTGACCCAATAGTCAATTTGTCAGAGTAAACATTGGTTATAACATCTCTCTGGTCAATTTCCTGTCCCGTCTAGCGGATTTATCCAAAACCAGTGATTTGTCCCAGTTTTATAAGAGAAATGTCCCTATTTTTGACCAATCTGATCCCCTTCAACAGTAAAGAGGAGGTTATATTGTCATTTGTTTAACTAAACTACAGAAAACAGCTTGAAAATGCAACGACAGAAGTCCTTCAGATAACCCACACGAGTCGAGACTGGACAATGTCGCTGACTCTTTTCAGTTTTATTCATGCACTCTACTCTATTTTTATTGACAGATTTCTTCTTTCTCTTTTGTTTTTCAGACTCCTGGGAAAGGAGGCTCCCAGAACGCAGAGACAGAGCAGCCCAGCACCGAACAGAACCATGACCAGACCTCTGAGGTACCATTCCTTCACCTTATTGTGGAAAATATCACCAGTTTACTAATGATCTTACTATTAGTGTGTGACAATATGTTGAATAAATCATAATAATGTTGTTAAATGATTGAATTCTGGTAAATTAAGAGATAAATGAAAGTGCACATGACAGGTTTTGATGATGCTCTCATTTTGACTTCATTTGGTGGGATAAAAAAATAAAAAAGATTTTTACAGAAAAATCAAGAAGCAATGTGTGAAGAAAAGATGAAAAATATTTTGAAAATGACAAGAAGTAGAGAGTCCCACACTGACACAATTTACCCAAGAAATACATTTTTATGACACTTTAAACATGATTTTAACTAAATAAAGGTGTTTTCTTATGTTTTTATTCGTCAAATTATAGAAGTTTTAGCTCAGTTATGAAATTCTCTATGGTTACGTCACAATTTTCAACCAGGAAGTAAAATTTTATACCTTAAAAATGTCTAAATTTGGGGAAAGAATCAACATTTTAGCAAAACCTTAAAAAGCTATGATGATCTTAACAGCGTTTGAGCGAAATGAGGACTCCAATCTGACACAGGGGCTTGAAAATATTATAAACCGTGTTTTTTTGCTTCCAAATTGGTCCAATCCCTCAGTCAGCCTCAGTGATTTTATTTATATTTGGTGTAGAGCTTGAGTAAAGTTTTTTTTTTTTTGTGCAGGGCTTCATCTGTCCTCAGTGTATGAAATCTCACAACACGGCGGAGGAGCTTTTCAAACACTACGAGCTTTTTCATGACACTGGAGACTTCCCTGCACACATGGCCCCCACAAGGTAAGAATGTTCCTCCCAAAACATAAAAAAATAATAATAATTATTATTATTATTATTAAAATAATCAAAAATATATTTATTTAAAAGCTACATTGTGTAACTTGTCCGTCAAATGTTTTTCTCCACGAAGATGTTATTGGAATGTTCCACAGTATGGCATTAAACCTTTCTATTTTCACGGAGACCAAACCAGACCAAGCTACAGGTCAGGTCTGTGGAGAGGCGACCCCGCTCACAGTCAGAATGTCTGTTTTTCTCGGTATTTTTGAGCTACAAAACCTGCACCTGTTACTGAATAAACGTAAAGTGGAGTTGTTTAATGTCACACTGTGGAACATTCAAGGCAGAGCAATGACGTATCCATAGAAACAAACAGGTGACGGACCCAAAAACCAAAAAGTTACACAGTGCAGCTTTTAAAATCCTGTTTGTGTTCACCTTTTGTCTGTCTTTTCCAGAGAAGACCTGACGATGCTGCGGCAGGAGGTTCAGGACTTACACGCTTCACTGAAGGTATCAACTCTTTAATTTTAAGTACTCTATTTTTTTTTTACTATAAATCGCTCCGGAGTATAAGTCGCACCAGCCAAAAAATGCATAATGAAGAAGAAAAAAACATATATAAGTCGCACTTTTTGGGGGAAATTTATTTTCTAAAATGAGAGACCAGGAGCCGACATTTCCTGTGTAAAGTCAAGTTGTAGTAAAAACAATAGAAGAGAGAATAACAGACTGTTAACGTCACATATGAACAGTTCTTCAGATAAACTATAACATAAACAACAGAACAGAACAAGTTTAACAAACTCTCCATCTCACTCCAAATCACTAAATCATTCAATTCTTCATCCTCGGTGTCACTTCTGAACAACTCGGCCTCGACCTCCAGAGGTAAACGGAGTCAGACTCAGCATCAGTTCCAGTTAGAATTATTCAGGTCTTTCTGAATCCCGACAGGATGGTTTCGGTGTCACTGAAGTCCAGACTTTGTCCATCCATCCAGTGACTTCAGGAAAGTTTCACGGTGCATCCTCCCGGTGTCACAAGTTTCTCTCTCACTCCAAACTTTCTTTCTGCTGCTTGATTTCCATTTTCAGCTGCAGATTTCACGACCTGCAGTTTGTAATCTGCAGAATCTGATTTTGTTTTTGGGGGCATTTGTGTTCAGTCTTCTCTGTCTTTGTTTAAATGTTAAATTGTTCAGTGGTGCAGAAGTAACGGTGCGATCGACTGACATGATACAGACAGGACAGAGGCTCTTTCTGCAGGAGACATGCGCAGTAGAGCCAAGTGACAGTGGTGCAGGAGGAACAGGAGCAGCAGATACTCACACACAAGACTAGAACCTCTCCACACTTCACCAAAAACATTTTAATATAGAAGTCACAGGAAACTAGCCAGTCTGACGCCCCCTAGTGCCTCCACTGAATTTCATTTTTCTCCAGTGACTAGGTCAGGAATCAGAATACACTAGACGGTTCACAAAAACCCTGGAAGGGGTTTGGGCACCAGCCAATCAGAGAAGAGACAGACATTCTGTGTTGGCAATGATTCCCGAGATCGATGATTTAAAGCCGGAACAAAGAGAATGTTTGGTGAATTTTATCAAGGGGAAAGACGTTATTGTTCTTCTTCGTACGTGATTTGGGAAAAGCTTAATATACCAGTTATCCCCGTTAGCAGCGCATTACCTACGTCACAACCAAACAGCAGCGATTGGTTAAATAAAAAAAGTCCCCGTCTACCGTTGAGCGAACGAATCCTAATGCTGCGAGGTCACACGGTTTACACCAAGTGAAACCGGCTGATGAATCAGACTAATAAGAAACACCCAAACCATGAAAAAAAGTGCGACAATCAGTCTGAAAAATATAATAAATATCTTCTGTTTTATCAAACTCACATGAACGACATGCTCTTTTTTTTTTTTCAGGAGGAGAGATGGTTTTCTGGAGAACTCAAGAAAGAACTGGACAAAGTTCAAGGACAACTGAAGCCAGTAATGAGTTTTAAATAATTAAAGTTGTGATTGTTTTGTAAATGTGTTGAAATCCGCTGAAACGTGACTCTCTCTTTCTTCTTTTTTTCTTCTTCCTCAGAGCGATGGGCCTGAAGACGCCGGTACGACACGTGATATCTGTGAATTTGATTTGTTTCAGGAGAAGTGAGACGTGCGGCGTCCTTCACTCACGAACACGTCTTTTACTCCACAGCTCTGGAACGGAAACTGAACGAGGCCGAGACCGAGAAGTTCAACATTAAACAGATGAAGGACCTGTTCGAGCAGAAGGCGGCGCAGCTCGCCACCGAGATCGTCGGTAAGACTCACGGACGGAGGGATGGAGGGAGGGAGAGATGGAGAGATGGATGGAGGGATGGATAGATAGACTGCTAGATGGATAGATCGATGATAAATGGATTAATGGATAAAAAGATGGATGGATGGATGGATGGATAAATAGATAGATAGATAGACAGATGGACATATAGATGGATAGATGGATGAATATATGGATGGATCAATGGATAGATAGATAGATAGATAGATAGATGGATAGAGTTTTAGATGGATAGATAGACTGCTAGATGGATAGATCAATGATAAATGGATGGGTGGATGAATGGATAAATGAATAGATAGATGGATGGATGGACAGATGGATAGATGGATGGATGGATAAAAAGATGGATGGATGGATAGATAGATGGATAAAAAGATAGATGAATGGATCGATAGATGGATAGATGGATGGATGGATAGATAGATGGATTAAAAGATGGATGGATAGATAGATAGATAGATAGATAGATAGATGGATAGATAGATGGATAGATGGATGGATGGATAGGATAGATAGATGGATAGATGGATAGATGGATGGATAGATAGATGATAGATGGATGGATGGATAGATAGATAGATGGATAAAAAGATAGATGGATGGCTCGATAGATGGATTAAAGGATGGATGGATAGATGGATAGATAGATGGATAGATAGATGGATAAAAAGATGGATGGATGGATAGATGATAGATGGCTAGATAGAAAGATGAATAAAAAGATAGATAGATGGATAGATAGATAGCTAAATGGATAGATGGATGGATAGATAGATGGATAAAAAGATAGATAGATAGGCAGATGGATAGATGAATGATGAATAAATGGATGAATACATAGATGGATGGATAGATAGATGGATGGATCAATAGCTGGATGGATTGATGGATGAAATAGAGAGATCTTTATTGTCTCGGCAGGTGACAGAAATTTTCCTTTGACACTTTCACCATAAAAACACATAAAAACACATTTAAAAACACATGAGAATAAAACCAGCAGCAGCAGAGATCTGAGTTCATCTGAGTTCATCTGAGTTCATCTGAGTTCATCTGAGTTCATCTGAGTTCATCTGAGTTCATCTGGTGCAGTTCAGAGCAGCGACGGCATTTGGAATGAAGGATTATTTTTAAATGTTATTACTTTATTGTTTTGTTTTATTTTATTTTTTTATTACTTTAATTACACTAAAGTTTAGACTACGGCTTTAATCAAAATAAACAGAATTATAATCAGGAAACGTTTACAGCTGGTTTGTGGTGATTGGGAAGTGCTTTTGTTCCGAGGCAGAAGGTCGTATGTAGGTCAGTGGTGCCAAAATGAAGGTCGCAAGATGATTTCAAGATATTATTTTAAAATCACACTGTAGGGTATCAATTCTTATAATATATATTTTTAGTTTTTTTTACTTAAATCATCATGTTTTGACTCTTGAAGTTGGATATCGAGAGGCGTGTGTATGTTTATTTTGGGGTCCCGGCATGAAAAGTTAGTCTACGTTTTGGAATATTTCTTATTTAAAGTGTAAGAAATTGTTTTACTTTTTATGTGTAACAAGAAGCATTTTATTTATTTTAATATGCTTTCATTGGTAGAAAATTTTTCTTTACAAGTAAAACTTAATCAAATCAAGATAAAATATTCTTAATTCAAATATTTTTAACTTGGCTCGACTTTATGTTTTACATTTAATCATTATTCAGCCCGCTATGGGGAAATAATAATTCTACTTTAGTTATAACTCTTTTTTTTCTTTATTATTTTGACTCTTTTGGTGATTTCCTGCATTACTGTTGTTGCCTTTATTAGTTTTTATTCAAATTCACAGACTTAAAATCACTTTATATGGGTAAATTCTTTTATAAACTATAGTACTAATAGTTTTTTTTTCTTAATAATTTAGGATTTTTTGGTGATTTCCTGCATCAATTTTATTTGTTCTTCTGATTTTGTTTAATACTGCAGACCTGAAATCGCAGTATATCGAGAAATTATAATAGTACTTTAGTAATAAATGCTTTTTTTCTTAATAATTTTGAATCTTTTGGTGATTTCCTGTGCTTTTGTTGTTGCCTTCATTTGTTCTTTAGTTTTTGTTTAATCCCACAGACCTGAAATCATGGTGTTTGTAGAAATGATGAATACTACTGTAGCAATAATTGTTTTTTTTTCTCAATAATTTTGAATCTTTTGGTGATTTGTTGTGTTTTTGTCGTTGCCTTCATTTGTTCTTTAGTTTCTGTTTAATCCCACAAATTTGAAATCACGGTATATGTAGAAATAAAAATTCTACTTTAGTAATAACAAATTTTTTTCTTTATTATTTTGACTCTTTTGGTGATTTCCTGCATTACTCTTATTGCCTTTAATAGTTTTTATTCAATCCCACAGACTTAAAATCACCTTATATGGGTAAATTCTTATATAAACTATAGTACTAATAGTTTTTTTCTTAATAATTTAGGATCTTCTGGTGATTTCTTGCATCACCTTCATTTGTTCTTTAGTTTTAGTTTAGTACCACAGACCAAAAAAGTGCGAAAGTGTGGTATATGGGGAAATTATAATACTACTTTAGCAATTACTGTTTTTTTCCTTAATAATTTTGACTCTTTTGGGATTTCCTGCGTCACCGACATTTGTTCATCTGATTTCATTTAATTCCACAGACTTAAAATCGCGTTACGATGAGGAGAAGAGCCTGAGACTGGCGGCCGACCAGAGACTCGCCAAACTCTCCCAACAGCTGCAGAAGGAGTCGGGGGAGAACGAGAGGCTGCAGACTGAGCTGGTGCGGTTATTTTTAATTCAGAATATTTAGTCAGTGCACAAACATGTCACGCATTCATTCATTTGTTCTTGGAGTTCAAACTTACGTCCGGGCCGCAACAGAAATGACCTCAGTGCGATGTCATTTTGTGTGTTTATAAGTATTAAACTAAACATTAACGCTAATACAACAGTTATACATAAGGGTCATTTGTCTTTTAAAGTGATTTTACAAGCTCACATTCTAAATTTAACGCTCGGCTCCAGTCAAATGAAGCTCATCGAGGCTTGCCAAAGACAAAGCAATAACATCTCCATGGTGAAAAACATTTGACGGAGCCTCCACCAGAAAAGTTATGCTATGCACTTTTAACACTGCGCCCCCTGCTGGTCCCACAGCTGCAGCGCCCCGGGGTGGAGGATGTGGAGGTGCTGCAGAAGGAGCTGGTGCAGGTTCAGACGCTGATGGACCAAATGACGAGAGAGCGAGAGGAGGAGTCTGAACGTCTCAAAACTCACTACGAGCAACTCCAGGCCAACTACACCACCTCAGAGGTACGAGTACGAGCCTCACACGGCCTCAGAGGTACGAGTACGAGCATCACGCGAGCCTCAGAGGTACGAGTACGAGCGTCACACGACCTCAGAGGTACGAGTACGAGAGGTACGAGTACGTCACACGAGCCTCAGAGGTACGAGTACGACCTCAGAGGTACTCAGACGGTCAGCGTACGAGCGTCACACGAGTACGAGTCAGAGTACGAGTACGAGCGTCACGCGGCCTCAGAGGTACGAGTACGAGCGTCACACGACCTCAGAGGTACGAGTACGAGCGTCACGACGGCCTCAGAGGTACGAGTACGAGCGTCACGCGGCCTCAGAGGTACGAGTACGAGCGTCACACGAGCCTCAGTCAGAGGTACGAGTACGAGCGTCACGCGGCCTCAGAGGTACGAGTACGAGCGTCACGCGGCCTCAGAGGTACGAGTACGAGGGTCACGCGGCCTCAGAGGTACGAGTACGAGCGAGTCACGAGAGGTCACGCGCCTCACGGCCTCAGAGGTACGAGTACGAGTACGAGCTTCACGCGGCCTCAGAGGTACGAGTACGAGAGGTACGAGTACGAGTTCACGCGGCCTCAGAGTACGAGTACACGAGCGTCACGCGGCCTCAGAGGTACGAGTACGAGCGTCACACGAGCCTCAGAGGTACGAGTACGAGCGTCACACGACCTCAGAGGTACGAGTACGAGCGTCACACGGCCTCAGAGGTACGAGTACGAGCGTCACACGACCTCAGAGGTACGAGTACGAGCGTCACACGACCTCAGAGGTACGAGTACGAGCGTCACACGGCCTCAGAGGTACGAGCGTCACACGACCTCAGAGGTACGAGTACGAGTTCACGACGAGCGTCACACGACCTCAGAGGTACGAGTACGAGCGTCACACGACCTCAGAGGTACGAGTACGAGCGTCACACGACCTCAGAGGTACGAGTACGAGCGTCACACGACCTCAGAAGTACGAGTACGAGCGTCTCACGGAAGAGACACGCAGCAAAACGACGGAATTTACGGTAAATAAAGTGTCCGTTTCATGCTTTTTTCTGATCTATGTTCTAATGTTTCTTCGTCACACACAGACCTGGAGTCGTGTTTTGTTTCATTCACACATTTAACACAAACTCTGCACATTTAGACTGAGGTTCTTCTCTGAAACTGAAAACACTCTGTTCCATCTTGTGATGTCATGTGGTGATACAGGAAGTGCTCCACTGTGTTTTTAACTCCAGACTCCATAAGTTCTTACTTTTTTCATTCTTATTACTGTTTATTTTGTACGGATGTAAGGATAAACTCTGTGCCTTCTTCATCGTTGTACGACCATAAACGAAAACAAAAAAATCCTTAAAGGTCCATCTGATGTTAAATAATTATTTTCACATTGTATCTTCTGCACATAAACAAGCACAGTTTGGGTTTTGGAACATCCATGACACAATAGTTCTGAAATCTCACAGACCAGGAACTATGAAAGTCCGACTATTGCTCCTCCCCCCGCCCGTCCTGAGAAAGCACAGGCTCCGCCTTCCAAACTGTGACGTAGACTCTGAGTGAGCCGCCCTTCCTCCGCCGTCTCAGGGAGGGAGGGGGAGACAGGTGTGACCCTGACAGAGGCAGGAATAAACTTTTATTCATCATGGAGATACAGCGCGTTCAGCCGCATGTGTTGGACCCGGAATCGGACGAGGACTTTGAGGAGCACGAAGCTCAAGCACCACGTCCACATCAGCTGAACATTTCTGATTGGTAAAGTTTTAATAAACACTAGTAGATAAAGTAATTATATCGTGTTCACTGCAGTGTAGAACAATCAGCTTCTGCTGTCGCTTTTGTTTAGGTGTTGATGTGGGAATTGTCAGACGATGTAATGCACCACTAACGGGAATATCTGGTATATTAAGTTTTTCCCAAATCCTGTAGGAAGAAGAACAATAACGTCTTTCCCCTTGATAAACTTCACCAAACATTCTCTTTGTTCCGGCTTTAAATCCTCAATCTCGAGAATCGTTGACGACACAGAATGTCTGTCACTTCTCCAATTGACTCGCACTTCCGGGGTTTTTGCGAACCGTCTAGTGTTTTCTGATTCCTGATCTAGTCGCTGGAGAGAAATGAAATTGAGCGGAGACACTAGATGCCGTCAGACTGTCTACCTTTTGAGCACCACGTCCCAAATATGTTCATGTACATTTCCTCAATCAAATAAGCAAATGAATGAATGAACACAACTTCATTTGGATCATTTCAGCTCTGGAATTACCGATCTCTACTGAACTAAAGGTAAAAAGCGATGTTCACTGAAACTACCACTTCATGACGTCACAAGGTGGAACAGTATTTTGAGGTTTCGGAGATGTAGACAGACGAATAATAAAGAGTTACTCAAACATGTGTGAATGAAACAAACAAACAAAAAAATCCCTGTTGAGTCAAAATGAACCTGTTGTAACTGACCTGTGTGTGTCTCTCTCCTCACCCTCTCACCCTCTCCTCATGTTTTCACATTCTGTAAAACTTCCCAAGATCCGTAAACTGGAGGTAAAACATGTTTCCAAAGCTTCTGTTCGCTTCATTTCACAAGTTTATTTCAGTTTATGGAAGGGCTGCACCATTTTGGATAAAAAAATCAAAACATAAAAAACTGTCACGGTTAGATTTCTGATTTATTTTTCATTCGTAGGATTCTGTTCAAAGTCCAAGAGGTGCTGACATGTGGGATATTTTCTCATGAAGTATTTCAGTGGTGCAGTGGGGATTTGTACGCGATTTGTGACGTCATCTACTGAAAAAACAGTAGAAACATAAAGGTGCCAGAACTAAAATAGGACAGGTTTAAATTAGGACTGAACCAGGACTAAACCAGGACTAAACCAGGACTAAACCAGGACTAAACCAGGTCTAAACCAGGACTAAACCAGGACTAAACCAGGACTAAACCAGGTCTAAACCAGGACTAAACCAGGACTAAACCAGGTCTGAAACCAGGACTGAACCAGGACTGAACCAGGTCTGAAACCAGGTCTAAACCAGGACTAAACCAGGACTGGGTCTAAAAACAGGACTAAACCAGGTCTAAACCAGATCTAAACCAAGTCTAAACCAGGATTAAACCAGGATTAAACTAGGACTGAACCAGGACTGAACCAGGACCAAAACAGGACTAAACCTTGTTTAAATTAGGACTAAACCAGAACTGAACCAGGACAAAACCAGGACTGAACTGGGACCAAACAGGGACTAAACCAGAACCAGGACCAAAACCAGGACCAAAACGGAAACCAGGACTAAAACAGGACTAAACCGGGTCTAAAAACAGGACTAAACCAGGACTAAACCAGGTCTAAACCAGGACTAAACCAGGTCTAAACCAGGTCTAAACCAGGTCTAAACCAGGTCTAAACCAGGTCTAAACCAGGATTAAACCAGGATTAAACCAGGATTAAACCAGGATTAAACTAGGACTAAACCAGGACTAAACCAGGACCAAAACAGGACCAAAACAGACTAAACCTTGTTTAAATTAGGACTAAACCAGAACTGAACCAGGACTAAACCAGGACTGAACCAGGACCAAAACGAGGACGAAACTACTAATGTTGGACTTGAGAGCGGAGCAGGGTGTCCTCAAAGTGTGCGTTGAGCCCCGTGCGACGTGAAGCTCTGCGCCGGTCTTTTTCCAGTTCTGGTTTAGTCCTGTTTTAGTCCCGGTTTAGTCTCGTTTTAGTCCTGATTCGATTCAGTCCTGGTTCAGTCCTGGTTCAGTCCTGGTTCAGTCCTGGTTCAGTCCTGGTTCAGTCCTGGTCCCCTCGTGAGTCTATGCAGTTTTTCACCGTTGCCAGTGGCTCCGGTTTGACGTTTAAGTTGTAGTTATTTTATTAAATGTTTTTATCTCACGTCGAATGGACGGACGTTGAAACCCCCACATCCCACGCCCACTGAACTAATCCAAAAACCAGACTTCAGAACATGTTTGTAAAAGTCTAAACTCCAAGATTAGGGTTAAAAGAGATGAATTTGCTTAGAAAATTACAGTTTTTGTGATTTCTTATTGCGTACGTTCAGTCTGTGGTAAATCGTGCAGCCCTCGTGTGTGTTTTTTTGGTGCGCATCATTTTGTTTTCCGTCTGGTGTTTTAGTGGTTTATTCACTTTTCATTTTACAGTTTTTATCTGTGATTATTGTAGCTGTAACAGAACCTGAGCTGTGCTTTTCCTCGACTCCGCAGATGACCATCTCACAGCTGAAGGCCGAGCTGGAGAAAGGGCCTCAGGAAGCGGCCGTCTACACGCAGCAGATCCACGAGCTCCAGAGCAACCTGAACAATCTACAGCAGCAAAACCAGGTACGGAGCGATTCAGGTTTATTTCCAGGGTTGTGGTCTCGCTCACAGACGTTACACAGTGGTCCCTCGTATATCGCGGGGGTTACGTTCTAAAAATAACCCGCGATAGGTGAAATCCGCGAAGTAATCATCTTTATATTTTACAATTATTACCTGGTCCCTGAAGGATTGACCAGTTTTTGTTTTCACCGTGTGTGTCTGTGTGTCTGTCCACCCACCATTTATGAACCGATTGTCACCAAATTTGGTACGCGGGTCAAGCCCCCAGGCCCGATGACGCAAAAATAGTTTGGTGACGATCCGAGGTCATTTGAAGTCACATGAGTCAATTGAAAGGTCACGTCGTTATAAAGGATTTAGGCAATTTCGATGATTTCTGAACCATCTGCGGCTTAAAATATTCACCCAACCATCACACGAGTTGGCGCACACATAACCGGGGCACACTGGATGTTACTGGTTGAAACCGGTCAAGATCACATGAAGGTCAAGGGAACCAAGGTCAAATATGCGTTTTTTCGGTCATAACTCCACGAAGGATCGAGTTAGAGCAACGGGAGTGTCTCAAAATCTCAGAAAAATTATGATCTATTTATAATTTTATGCATTTGTGTAGTCAAATATGAATAGTTTTCCAGATAATCATTAATTATAACAGCTCCTTTCTCTTTCAGTGTGTGCCGTTAAAATTCAAATTGGAACGACAATGGAATAAAAATGCAAATACACCGTTTCACAGATCAATAAACTTTACTTTCTAAAGAACATGTAACACAGAAACTGTAAGACAAACAAAAACAACAGGCCTAAATAAAACAGACGTGTTAACACAGAACTAGTCTAATGTGTCTGGTTTACAGCGAGGATTTGTTCACAAAAATACACTTGAATAAACCATTGTTGAACCAAACACAACCAAAGCAATAAATAAAAATGGATTGTTAAGTGTCTGTAAAAAAGAATTGCCCTTAAAAGTGATTTTAGTCCTTGACTTGCGTTGGTGTATTGTGTCTCGTCTCTCTGTGGCTGCTGCTGTGGCCTCGGCATTTTTGGCGTTTAAATGTTCGTATGAACCCGAGACACAGGATTCTGTTTCACTCTGAAGAGGCCTATGTTCTGTCTGGTGTCGTGTCGGTGTCTTGTGGGATTTCAGTGGATTTCGGGCTCTTCCCGGGGGTTAGGCGAGTTCTGTCGCTCGGGTTTAGGTGTATGTCGGCTGTTGGGGTTTGAGACATTTCTTCTCGTCGTTTGTGCTCGCTGCCTTTGACATTGAGACGTGTCCCGCTCACCAGTGTTGATTCGGCATCGTGACGTGTTTTGTCACACGGAGATGAACTGTTTTGGTTCTGACAGCGGCGCTTGTGTCGCGGCTTCATGTTTAGCCGCACAGACAGCGGAGTTTTCTGCACTCAGGCTGTGCGCACATCCAACTCAGTGCACGTTGGTTCAAGCCTCATTACGGCTTGATAAACGAGAGGAGTCATAGAGCGATAGAAGCTTCTAACATTCGGAGCAGCTCTAATACATATTTGATATGATCTCGTTGGCCAAATATAATTATATCGGAAGCCAAATTTGGTCCCTGGACCTGAATTTGACATGTCTGAGCTAGACCTTTGTACCTGGTGTTAAGAACGTGAGAGCAGTGAGGAGGGTCTGTTCTTCTGTTCTTCCTGTACTTTTGTAAAACTTGAACACGGGTTTGTTGAACTCCTCTGAGATCCCTGGAGAAGAGACGTGGTTTGGCTTTTATTTGATTTTACTGGCTTTATTGTTTTTGGACTGGTATGATCAAGTTGATCAAGATGAACAATTGACCTTTTTCTTGTCTTTATTTTCTGATCTCTGTGCAGCACTTTGGACACTGCTTTAAATAACACGCGCGGCCTCTTGAAAGTGCTCTCACAGAAATGTTAACCAGCCCGTCCCCCCGGCCTTCGCTGTCATGTCTTCTAACAATACTCGTCTGTCATCGGCCGTCTTTAGTAACGCACAGAATCCCGCGCAGCTTTGTCATTAACCCGCCAGCAGGGGGGGCCGTGCGGGCTGTCGACTCGGGTAACTGCAGCACAATCACAACGGGAACAGGATATCAACAGGAACATGGCCGCCCGGGGTTCCTACAAGAGTTTAAAAAGCCCATTCTGATGTTCTAATGTCGTTTCCTCTTCACAAACAGACCTGGAGTTGTGTTTTGTTTCGTTCACATGTTTAACACACAAACCTGCACATTTATGTATATTGAGCTCTTCTCTCAAATAAAAAACACTGTTCCACCTTGTGATGTCATGTAGTAATGTGCTTTATGGAGATAGAATTGTTGCAAAAAGATTTGTACAAAGAAGAAAGGATATATATACTGTATTTATAGGAGTTTAAGTCACACCAGCCCAAAAAATGTGTAATGAAGAAGAAAAAAATATAATATATAAGCCGCAGTTTTAAGGGGAAATGTATTTTATAAAATCCGAGACCAGGAGCAGAAATTTTGTGTGTAAAGTCAAGTTGTAGTAAAAACAAGAGGAAGAGAGAACTGTTTTTGTTTTTGAGGAGAAAACAACATTATAACCCGACTTAAAGTTCACAAGAGTCAGTTTTGTGTGATGTAGGAGCTTTAAAATGATAAATATAGTTGTATTTTTGTTTCTTTCTGTTAAAATGTGTCTCTTCTGCTTCAATCAAAACCTCGATAATGTGTTTTTATTGTTCCAAAACACCTTCGTTAAACATGTTTTGGGCTGTGAATTAAACAAAACACAACTCCAGGTCTGTTTTTGAGAAGAAAACGACATTATAACCCGACTTAAACCTCTCAAGATTCAGTTTTGCGTAATGTAGGAGCTTTAAAACAATAAATATAGTTGTATTTTTCTATATTTCTGTTAAAATACATCTCTTCTGCTTCAAGCAGAAGCTCGATAATGTGTGTTTATTGTAAAAAAACACCTTCGTTAAACATGTTTCAGGCTGTGAATTAAACAAAACACAACTCCAGGTCTGTTTTTGAGAAGAAAACAACATTATAACCCGACTTTAACCTCACAAGAGTCAGTTTTGCGTAATATTGGAGCTTTAAAACAATAAATATAGTTGTATTTTTGCGTATTTTAGTTAAAATTGTGTGTTTTTATTGCTCAAAAACACCTTCGTTAAACGTGTTTTGGGCTGCGAATGAAACAAAATACAACTCCATCTCTGTTTTTGAGAGGGAAATAACCTTAAAACATGACTTAAACCTCACAAGAGTCAGTTTTGTTTAATATAGGATCTTTAAAACAATAAATATAGTTGTATTTTTGAGAATTTCTGTTAAAATATGTCTCTTCTGCTTCGATCTAAACCTCCATAATGCGTTTCAAGTGTTTTTATTGTTCAAAAACACCTTCGTTAAACATGTTTTCAGATGTAAACGAAACAAAACAAAACTCCAGCTCTGTTTTTGAGAAGAAAACAACATTATAACCCAACTTAAACCTCACAAGAGTCAGTTTTGCGTAATATTGGAGCTTTAAAACAATAAATATAGTTGTATTTTTGTACCTTTCTGTTAAAATAATGTGTTTTTATTGTTCAAAAACCTTCGTTAAATGTGTTTTCATCTGTAAATGAAACAAAACACAACTCCAGGTCTGTTTTTGAAAAGAAAACAACATTATAACCCGACTTTAACCTCAGAAGAGTCAGTTTCGTGTCAATATCGAACCTTTAACTTCTTCGAATGAGACTTTCAGGATTAGTTTTTGCAGCGGACCGTGCCCTTGACTCACCTCAGGCGGAAAACTGACCCACGCCTAAACTTATCCGATGACGGCACGGCGAACAAAAGCAATTGTGCGATAAGGATATAACATGAGACCCGACAGGTGAGCGGTCAATAGGGGGGGTTTTTAGGTTTGGATCCCGACGATTAGAGTCTTATTTAAGTCATAGAATCCGGGATAATATTCTCCGAACACTTGTCGCGCAGCTGCTTCGTCGGACAGCGAGCCAGATGCCCCGTCATGGTCCCCAGTTAGTGTCCGACGCTGCTCTTTAACGTCGTCGGCCGGTCATGGCTCGTGTGTCTGTTTTATGACGTTGATTTACGGGGCCGGTTTTCTCTTCGCGTGCCGCAGATTTCCGTGCGCTGAGGCTGCGGCGGGAATGCCATAGCTCGCTCCGGTCTTCAGGGAGCTTTTGAAGTCCCTGTTTATTTCTATAGCGTTTATAGCCCAGGACAAGGACGGACGTAAAGTGAAATGCTCAATTTAAACGTCATACTCGGCTTGTCAATCATGTGTTACCTTCACGGCGAGTTTTTTATCGATTATATGTTATTGTCTGTAGTTTTTTATTTGCTCGAGCGCAGAATTGTAGGTCGTTTTTCAATATAAAACTAAAAATAAGAAAATGAAAAAACAACAGTTTTCTTCATTATTTGTCTCCAAAACCAAAATGAAAAGAAACAGATAATGAGTCGGGGTTTTTTTTCAGTTTTTTATTTTGTGTTTAAATGAAAAATGGAAAAAACGGATAGTGACTGTTTCTCGTTTCCGTGACTTAAACTGCGATGCTGGACTGAACAAGGACTGAACCAGGACTAAACCAGGACTAAACCGTTTTCAGTCCTGGTCTGGTCCCAGGCTGGTCCCGGGCTGGTCCCAGTCTTAGTCCTGGTCTGGTCCTGATATGGTCCCGGTTTCAGTCCTGATCTGGTTCCGGTCTCATTCCCGCTCTGGTCCCAGTCTGGTCCCAGTCTGGTCCCAGTCTGGTCCCAGTCTGGTCCCAGTCTCAGTCCCGATCTGGTCCTGGTCTCAGTCCCAGTCTGGTCCTGGTCTCAGTCCCAGTCTCAGTCCTGGTCATGGTCCCAGACTCAGTTTGGGTCTGGTCCTGGACCTGGTTCAGTCCTGGTTTAGTCCGGCATCTCAATTTAAGTCACGTAAACGAGAAACGGTCGTTATCCGTTTTTTCCATTTTTCATTTAAACACAAAATCGAAAAATGAAAAAATGAATCATTATCTGTTTTTTCATTTTGGTTTTGGAGACAAATAATGAAGAAAACTGTTGTTTTTTCATTTTCTTATTTTTTATTTTATATTGAAAAACGAATGAACGATCAACACACAAATTTAACGAGCCTGAGCTGAACGACCGCAATTATTTTTTAACAAGAATAGACGTTTACATGATCGAGGAATAAATTAATTTGGCTTTAAAATCAGCACAAACCATTCACTTACTTCAGAATTCAGTTTAATTTCGAATAATCATTTTCATTTTTTGTTACTGAGACGATGTAAAAGTCCAATTTTTAAGGAAAATTCTTATTCTAATTCGTCTGTTGTGTATGATTCTCGCTCTGCCTGTACGATTATTTTATTTTATTAACTTTATTTAATTGTTTTTTTTTTACAGCTTTTGTCTGAAAAGTTAACCCGTAAGGAGAGCGAGCACCAGGAAGCGGAGAAGCAGCTGTCGTCTGAAAAAGCGTCAAAGAAAAACCTAGAGGAGCGACTGAGGGAGCGAGAGACCGAGGTGCACGAGCTCCAGACGAAGGTCACGGGGGCCGAGGCCTCGCTGCAGAAGACCCAGGCCGAGCTCCGGGACAAGGAGGGGGAGCTGGGCAGGTTAAAGAGCGCCCTGACGGAGCTGGAGGTGAAACACGCGGAGGTGAGGGCCGAGAGGAAACAGCTGGAGCAGCAGCGAGAGGAGAAGGAGAGCCAGGGCGCCCAGCAGCAGACCGAGATCAGCCAGGTGAGGACGCGGACTCAGACGAACATTATTGATCCATGAGGGAAATGATCAGACCACAGTCGCTCAGAAATAACAGTGAGTGCGTTGAGAAGCGCTCGAGTATCCTGATTATGACCCTTATCCCGTTACAACTGTTCTGGATGTGATGTTTACATGCGGAAACAGAAACCAGGACACTCTTACGTCTGTGTGCACGACGAATCAGAGCATCCTGAGTGTTTAGATTTCTATATAGGGTCTGGTCAAGTGGTAAGGGAGGGAAACGGGGGCAGATTTTTTTACCTTCAAATAGCTTGTATTCAGAAGCTAGAGGGACTATTGAAATAAGTAAAGTATCAGAATGTAGGAAAGAGTTACACTCCAACAGGGTCAAGTTAAACCTGTGAGATTCTTTCAAGTTCAAGACAAAAAATTTAAAAACTCATGTCGGTAACGGAGGGAATGAAATATGCAGCACTTTTTGGTCAATAAATCCAAACAGTGATAACTCTTGGTTCTCACTTACATATCCTTAACAAACTGGTTTGAATATTTGCTTCATATAGTTTTCTACCATATGGTACAAGATTAGGTTGAAAAACCTCTTACTTTTTGACTCATGAGATTTTTTATTAAGAAAGTTCATGGTAACGGAGGGAAAAGTAACGGAGGGAAAATTGTACAAACAAGTAGAAGGTGCAGGATTTTACATCATTTGTCGCTTTTTTCTTACGAATACTTTAATATTACTTCAAAATGAAAGGAAACTATTTCTATAAAATATGTCAGTCCTTCTAAGCAAATTTGTATCATTTTAAATACATTAAAAAAAAAAAAAATCCTATACCTTCATCAACAAATCAGAGACAGAATAACACAAGATATGATGAAATACATCCATTTATTTACATGATTTGCAGGTCTTTGAAATTTGGGAAATAATTTTTGTTCCATGTTTCATACATGGTCTGTTTAAAACTTTAGAACCAAAAATGGTACAGAAAAAAGGTCAACAGTTTCATAAACTAGAGTACATATGTATCTGTTCAATACATTTTTATATCAGATGCATTAACTTGAATTTTTGGCCTTGTTGTTTACTTCTGCTTGACCGGGACCATAGATTTCTTTTGCGGCCGATATGATACTAATAAAACGGAACTTGGAGCTGCCAAAAGTCCAGGCATGTCCAAACTATGGCCCCTGGGCCAAATGTGGCCCTCAGACGAATTTTTCTTGGCCCTCAGACTTCCAGGTGAATTGGCCCAAATTACCTTGCATCAATTAAAAATGAACTTTTTACTGCAAGTTTTCTGAAAATCTATTTAATTTAATATTTAGTGTGTGGTTTAGTGTGTGGTTTAAAAAGTTTGGACACCCCTGCAATAGTCTATATAAAAGTTGCACTAATAAATCTCACAATTTGCAAATAAGACGGTGTGCGAGATTTTTCTCTATATTCTTGCGATTTATAAAACATAAAATGAATAAAATAAACTTTGAACATGAAATAAGGCAGAAAAATAAACTTCTTATCCAGCTGTTCTACAATCTCTGTATTTACAAAAATGAAATAAATATACTTAAATCATTTCAACTCGATGATATGAGTTTGGAGATCGTTTCACACACAAATCGATTTCACAATCAAAATTACACTTACACACTCCACATTCGTACTAGTGAGTGAAGTGTCTTGCCTAAGGACACGATGGCTGTACGCTGGTGATGCGAGTGGACTAAAGTCATCTGTCGTTCTTCTGAAACTCAGAGGTAGAAACATCAGTGCGTGCGTAGTGCGTTTGACTGAGGTGTTTTTCTGTTGCAGCTTCACGCCAAACTGCTGGAGACGGAGAGACAGTTGGGCGAAGTGCAGGGACGTCTGAAGGAGCAGAGGCAACTGTCCGGAGAAAAGCTCAAAGATCGAGAGCAGCAGGCGGCAGATCTACAGCTGAAGCTCTCGCGGGCAGAGGAGCAGGTGAGGGTCTGAGAACATGAGGACAGCTCCAGGAGTATAGAACGATAGAAGAAAAATAACAAATATGGATGTGTTTTTTTTTCTTTAGTTAAAGGAAAGTGTGAGCAAAAACACAGATCTGCAACACCAGCTGGAGAAGGCCAAACAGCAGCACCAGGAGCTCCAGGCTCTTCAGCAGAACACCAACGGGAAACTCAGAGAGGCTCAGGTACAAACACGACTTTATAAACAGAGACTGTATAAAGAAGTGGGATAAGACTACATTCAGTCTGCAGCCTGAAGTGGCCCAAATCAGATTTTTTGTCCTCTATGCTTCCTGTATCTGATCTTTTTTTTTTTTTTCCATTAAAGTTTATTGGAAACAACGGAACAATATATATTGTACATTGACACAGCATTTCAATTATAGTTTCCTTTCTCCTTTTCTAAAAGTAAACAAAGTCACTGTACTTATATTATAGAAATTATCAAGCTTGAACAAAAGGAAAAAAGCTTGGTAATATTAAAACTAATAATAACAAAACAAGAAAAAAATAAAAAATAAAATAATAATAATAATAATAACAATAATAATACAAAATAATATATATATGCATATATACATACATACATATGGTTTCATAGAGTCATACTCAATTAAAATCGGATCTAAACAGGGCAACAAACATTCTCCATTCTCAAAGTTTTCCAGTAATTGTCAAATTTGTCAAAGTCAAGTCTCATATTAAATGTCAGTTTTTCCATGACATAAACGGTGTGAACAACATTTATCCAGTCCTCAGTGCACCGAACTTTATCACTAAGCCGTCTTTTTGTAATACACTTTTTCCCAGCAGCCAGTAATATGTTATAAATATATTTTTTCTTACGTTCTATAAGATGGGCAGGCTTTATCCCAAGGTACAATGTCTCAAATTTGTGTGGTAAAGTAACAGAGAGAACTTTTTCAATCCTGCTCCTGACCTGAGACCAGAACTGTGAAAGTTCTGGACATTCCCAAAATATGAGATAATGACCGGCGCTTCCTGTCCCACACTTTGTCCAACAGGAGGTGTCCCTCCCCGTAGCAGCACCCTGAGAAGGCACCCTAAAAAAACGCATCACATTCTTCCAGACAAATTCTCTCCAACTGATGGATGCTGTGCACTTCACATTGTTCTTCAAAATCTCTTCCCACTCTTCTAATTGCAGCCTAAACCCTCCTTCTTTTTCCCATTTTTCCTTTATATATTTAACATCATTAACCCCACTGCACCGTATTTCACTATAAAGTTTAGAAATAACTTTTGATCTTGGTTCATCTCTATATGCTTTTAGAAAAGCATATGATCTTTTAATGACAGTCTGAATGACACAGATCCAATTTTTTTCAAATGTGACCCAGGACACTTGGATATGTGCTCCTGAAACTGATACATATCTGATCTTTTGACATGTGACTTCAGTCTGAACGGCCAAGGTGCATTCATCCACCTACAAACACAAACGTTCTTCTCGTCAGACCAAAATTGTGTCTGAACTCCGTGTGAGTGAAGCAGTGAAGCACAGATTCATCCCTCCACTCTGCGAATCCACACCCACATGTTTCTTTCTACGGACGTTGCTGACGTTGCCCCACAAAACGCCACGGCCAAAAACCTCGTCCTTCTCCTTCTCTATCTCCTCCTTAAAACAAATAAGGAGATCACATACAAGTCACATTTAACTGGAAATGTGAACGACCTCGCAAAAAAAATCGGATTTCACATAAAAATTCCAAATTGAGCGTTTAAGCCCTGCAGTCTGAACCAAGACCGAGTGAGCGTGACAGCTCCCACAATGCTCAGCTCCAGTCTAATGACGCTCACAAGACGAGCAGTTGGAAGCAGTTCTGTATTAGGAACAGGAATTTATCTACAGTCAAAACAGCAAAATAAAAACACCAGAATCATGTAGAACAGACTAATACGAGCATTTTGTGCTTATGGAGAAAAGGATGTAATGCAGGTCAAATCTGTGGAGATCCTGGTCACGATGAGAATGTTTTTCAGTACTTTTAATCAAATCAAATAGAAAACGCACACCAAGGTTCTTGTAGAGGCGCAAATGCAAGGAACAGTAAAATAAAAGTGAAAAAATGCCCAGCTCGCTCATACTGTGGTCTAAAGAAAGAGAAATGATCTGACAAAGGCTTTTTGCTGAAACATTATTTAAAAATAAAAAATGGTTTTGGACATCGGTCATCTGAGTCCGCTGTGCATTTTTTCAGTTTTATATCAGCACTTTTAAGCCACGGAAAAACCCCTAATGAAACATACTGTGGAACATTCCATGTTGTAAACAAATAATATCTCCATGGAAACAAACAGGTTTCCACCAGAAGTGATTGACTCTGCACCTTTACACGGTTTAGTCCTGGTTTGAGTCCTAATGTAGGTTTGGTCCCATTCTAGTCCTGGTTTAGTCCTGTTCTAGTCCTGGTTTAGTCCTGATCTAGTCCTCGTTTAGTCCTGTTCTAGTCCTGGTTTAGTCCTAATGTAGATTTGGTTTGGTCCCATTCTAGTCCTGGTTTAGTCCGGATCTTGTCCTGGTTTAGTCCTGACCTTGTCCTGACCTAGTCCTGACCTAGTCCTGACCTAGTCCTGATCTAGTCCTGGTTTAGTCCTGGTTTAGTCCTGGTTTAGTCCTGGTTTAGTCCTGGTTGAGTCCTAATGTAGATTTTGTTTGGTCCCATTCTAGTCCAGGTTTAGTCTTGATCTAATCCAGGTTTAGTCCTGATCTAGTCCAGGTTTAGTCTTGATCTAGTCCAGGTTTAGTCCTAACCTAGTCCTGATCTAGTCCTGGTTTAGTCCTGATCTAGTCCTGGTTTAGTCCTGATCTAGTCCTGGTTTAGTCCTGATCTAGTCCAGGTTTAGTCCTGATCTAGTCCAGGTTCATCCCCAGTTTAGTCTAATATTTGATGTGGTGATTGAAGTGTTAGATTCATAATCCGTGCTTCATCTAGTCTCTTTATAAAAATGTTCTGGCTGTTCCTCAGAACGACCTGGAGCAGGTTCTGCGTCAGATTGGAGACAAAGACCAGAAGATCCAGAACCTGGAGGCTCTGCTGCAGAAGAGCAAAGACATCGTGAGTCAGCTGGAGTCCGAGCGAGAAGATCTGTGCGCCAAGATCCAGGCCGGAGAAGGAGAGACCGCCGTGCTCCACCAGCTCCAGGAGAAGAACCACGCCCTCCAGGAACAGGTACTGACCACTGACCAGAGCTACTGACCAGAGCTACTGACCACAGCTACTGACCACAGCCACTGACCACAGCTACTGACCATACTGACCACAGCTACTGACCACAGCCACTGACCACAGCCACTGACCAGAGCTACTGACCACAGCTACTGACCACAGCCACTGACCACTGACCACAGCCACTGACCACAGCCACTGACCACCTACTGACCACAGCTACTGACCACAGCTCACTGACCACAGCCACTGACCACTGACCAGCCACTGACCAGCCACTGACCACAGCTACTGACCACAGCCACTGACCACAGCCACTGACCACAGCCACTCTGACCTCTAGAACTGACTCTTGCAATGCACTGTTTCCATTTTACCGGTTGATAATATAAAATTAGGGCCGGGCACGTTAACGTGTTAATTTGGTGTTTAACTAATTAAGTCATTATCGCCGACAATTATTTTAACGCCGTTAACGCAGTTTTTATTATTTATTTATTTATTTTATTGTAAACGTTTGTTTCTCACTGGCTTTTATTTTGAAAAACTCGACCGCCAGCGTTTCTTTAAGTTTGACGTCTTTTCTTTAAACTTTTTTCACTTTTTTCTGACCACGTGAGATACAAAGTGTCCGAGTCTCCGCGGACCACGGGCCCAGTCACTGATTTACCCAGATACAACTGGAAGAAAAACTGTGATTGGTCCATTTTCATTTCATTATATTAACCCTTTGTTTCCCAAGAAATATCAGTCCAAGTTTATAACAATGATCTAGAAATTATTACTAGTGTCGTGTTCATTACTCACAGCATCAAAAATATTGAAAAAATATATTATGTAGCACAAAAGTCCATTCAATATTTTTTCTTGAGCCTTCACTGAACACTTTGAAGACTCTGAGGTTCCCCTGTGAAAGAAACACTGTTTGCACAACAAATGTATGACTATTTCATTTACATTTCCAGTAAAAGTCACTATACTCTACTTTTTAATTCATTAATTGGTTTTGCGTATAACATGCGATTAATCACGATTAATCGCTCGAACTCATGCGATTAATGCGATTATTTATTATTTATTTATTTTTTTTGCCCAGCCCTATATAAAACTGAAAAAATAATAATAATTTGCAGACATGTATAAACTTATTCCAATAAATGAAGCTGTTTTTGTGTTAAATATTCCTTGTTTCTTCTCTCAGGTGACACATCTGACAGAGAAGCTGAAGAACCAGTCTGAGAGCCACAAACAGGCCCAGGAGAACCTCCACAAACAGATCCAAGAGCAGAAGACCCAGATCAGGACGGCACAGGACCACGCCCACACGCTGGAGTCCTCTGTGACCGAACTGACCGCTCAGCTCGCAGACACCACGGAGAAAGTGACGCAGCTGGACTCACAGGTACACGCCGCGTTTCATATCATGTGTTTTTTTTTTCTTACACAAGCTTTTAGCAGTATAGAATGTACAGAATAAATGCACCAAATACTTTCACATTAAAGATGATTTAAGTATAATTGAATACAAAGGTTTATTTATTGAATGTGTTGAGACCCTGAGCCAAGGCAGCAACAAAAGGAGGAGGCGAGAGGTTAGATTTAAACATAAAATATATTTATGAACAAAATCACAAACAAAAAACACACACTGGTTTCTGCCTTTTGCCTTTGCACGACTCATGAGCAGTGTTGAGGAGTAACAGATTACATGTACTGGAGTAATGTAATCAGAGTACAAATTATGAGTAACTGTACTCAGTTACAGTTACTGTTTCAGTGAGTGGTAATTGGATTACAGTTACTTTGTTGAAATAAATGGATTACACAGAGGGATTTTCCTGTTTTCACATTTCGGGCTAAACCAAGACTTAAACCAGGACTAAACCAGGACTAAACCAGGACTAAACCAGGACTAAACCAGGACTAAAACCAGGACTAAACCAGGACTAAACCAGGACTAAACCAGGACTAGACTAACACAATATGACACTAACAGTAGTGTGGACATAATTGTGTTTTCATATAAAAATTATTTCTCTATCAGTAATTTTTTTAATCTGGTCAAGTAAAAACTGAACAAACAGGAAATTTCAGGATGTGGTTGGTACATTCATGTAGTTTAAAAAAACATGACAATATCAAGTAATCCAAAGTATTCAGATTACATTACTCACTTGAAGTAACTTAATGGATTATGTTACAAACTACATTTTGGGGTATGTAATCTGTAATCTGTAGGGGATTACATTTTAAAAGTCACCTTCCCAACACTTAAGGGGCAATTTTGAGCTCAGTATTTTCACAATATTTATTCACTTGATAAAGGAGGCGATGTTACGGTTTTACGGCAGAAATAGTGACAAGGATCAACATCTGCGGGTCATAAGTTGTTGTTTTTTTGTTTTTTTTCTAATCAAATCTCATAGTTCTATAGGTTCAAATACTAAAACGTGAACACAACTTATTATTATTTGGTGAATCTTTGCTTTTTCCATCAGCTCAAGGCAAAGACAGAGCTGCTTCTTTCCACGGAAGCTGCGAAATCTTCACAAAAAGCAAATCTGGAAAACAGCCTGGAGACGGCCCAGCACGCACTACAAGACAAACAACAGGTCAGAGATCAAAACACGTTCTTCGTAATCTATATCATATTTTATTGAATATGTGTAATTATAATACTCAATATATACGAGAGAGATGGGAAGCGGAGATGATAATAGATATATCGGCAGATACCTGGGAACAGACATGTACAGAATCACATCTTGTTACAAATTCAACCATCTGGCGAGAATTCAAGTGGAAAGTTGTTACCAGATTTTTCAGAACTCCAGAAATAACTGCTAAAATGGGTCCAGTACATTCCGGCTCATGCTGGAGAAACTGTGGTGTGGTCAATGCTAACCACACACATATATTTTGGCATTGTCCTAAACTGGATTTGTTTTGGAGGGAAGTTTTTGATGCCCTTAAAGTCATTTTTAATCGATGTGTCCCATCTACCCCAGTAGTAGCATTGTTAGGAGCATTACCTGCAAGTATTGGCACACGAGATGAAAAATACCTTTTAAACATTTTACTTACTGCAGCCTTAAAATGTATAACCATTAGATGGTTCAAACCAGATCCTCCCTCTTATAACATCTGGATTCAGAAAGTATGGGATATATACCAAATGGAGCAGATAACATATTCTTTAAGGATTCAAAAAAACATTTTTATTAAGCGCTGGAAACCTGTTTTGCCTTTGCTAATACAGTAGAAACGACATGGGGCTTTTTTTTTTTTTTTTTATAACTGTCTCTGATACATAAAGAGTGGATGTTTATGTTTAATTATGTCATTATTACCCGGTTGCTTGCTTGTTTCTTGTTTCTTTTTTGTAACAAACCTATATTGTTTAAAAAAAATTGAAATGTTTTCATTGATTTTAAATAATTGTATTATTGCTGAAAAAGAAAATAAAAATTTAAGTTAAAAAAAACAACAACATGTTCTTCAACTCCACATTTATAATAACAAATTCCTTTTTTTAATAACGCTATATATCGATTTTACGATGTGTAGGAACTGAACAAACTGCAGAAAAAAGCCGAGGAGCAAGTTCAAAAACTGAAGGAAAGAAAGGAGCAGTGTGTTCAGCTGGAGAACACGGTGAAGGAGCTCAGAGACAAACTGCTGACGTCGGAGCAGAGCGTGGAGCAGCTGGAGGGACACAAAAAGGTGAAACCATCATTCATGTTAAATAGATTTCATTTACTGTATTTATTGTATACTTATATATTTGTTCTGATAAATCTCAAAATCACACTTAAAACTGTTCAGGAAAACTCAGATTTTGTCCTGTTAATGAGTTTGTTTTTTGTTTTTTTGTTTTTTGCATTATTATGATTATCAGTATTTTGTTTCCATATTAGTTTTAGTATCGATTACTTCGTCAATAAATCTAAACTATCTCTGACTCAGAACTAAACCAGGATTAAAACAGGGCTAAAACCAGGTCTAAACCAGGACTAAAACCAGGACTAAAATCAGGTCTAAACCAGGTCTAAAATCAGGACTAAACCAGTCTAAACCAGGATTTAACCAGGATTAAACCAGGACTAATCCAGAACTAAACTAGGACTAAACCAGAACTAAAACCAAAACTAAAACCAAAACTAAAACCAAAACTAAAACCAAGACTAAAACCAAGACTAAAACCAAGACTAAAACCAGGACTAAAATCAGGACTAAACCAGGACTAAAATCAGGACTAATCCAGGTCTAAAATCAGGACTAACCCGGACTAAAACAAGAACTAAAACCAGGACTAGTATTAGGAGTAAAACCAGGACTAAATCAGGTCTAAACCAGGTCTAAAAGCAGGACTAAACCAGTCTAAACCAGGATTTAACCAGGATTAAACCAGGACTAATCCAGAACTAAAACCAAGACTAAAACCAAGACTAAAACCAAGACTAAAACCAAGACTAAAACCAAGACTAAAACCAGGACTAAAATCAGGACTAAACCAGGACTAAAATAGGTCTAAAATCAGGACTAACCCGGACTAAAAGAAGAACTAAAACTAGGACTAGTATTAGGAGTAAAACCAGGACTAAATCAGGTCTAAACCAGGTCTAAAAGCAGGACTAAACCAGTCCAAACCAGGATTTAACCAGGACTAATCCAGAACTAAACTAGGACTAAACCAGAACTAAAACCAAAACTAAAACCAAGACTAAAACCAAGACTAAAACCAGGACTAAAACCAAGACTAAAACCAGGACTAAAATCAGGACTAAACCAGGACTAAAACAAGAACTAAAACCAGGACTAGTATTAGGACTAAAACCAGGACTAAACCAGGTCTAAAAGCAGGACTAAACCAGTCTAAACCAGGATTTAACCAGGATTAAACCAGGACTAATCCAGAACTAAAACCAAGACTAAAACCAAGACTAAAACCAGGACCAAAATCAGGACTGTTAATGTGATTTTTTTTTTTTTTTTTTGCATTATTATTATCAGTATTTAGTTTCCATATTGGTTTTAGTATCGATTAGTTTCAGATGTTCGATGAATCCTGAACTCTCTGTGACACGTGTGTGACAGAAACTGGAGTCTCAGGTCGTTGAGGTGGAGGCGTCTCGAGACAAAGCGCAACAGGAAGTGCAGAAGCTTCAGAAGGAAGGCTCCGAGGTGAAGAAGAAAACCAAAGAGCTGCAACAGGTGCTGCAGAAGGAACAGGCCGGGTAAAGACTTTCAAACACTTTCTCATGACCTGATTTAAATGTTAAGTTTGTTTTAGTTTGAGGGGATTTTTTGACACTTAAAGGTCCATATTATGTTATTTTCTGATTTGTTCTCGTGTGGTTTCCTCGTCACAAACAAACGTGGACTTGTGTTTTTTTTGTTTTATTCACACAAACTGAAGATTTAGGATGAGTTCTTCGATAAAACGAAAATAGATGGAAGTGTTTTCAGTGTGTTTTTAAAATTCACTCAAATTAGGAGTAAAGCCAGGTCAAAAACCAGGTCTTAAACCCCAGGTCTAAACCAGGACTAAACCAGGTATAAAATCAGGTCTATACCAGGTCTAAAACCAGGTCTTAAATCAGGTCTAAACCAGGTCTAAACCAGGTCTAAACCAGGTCAAAACCAGGTCTAAAATCGGGTCTAAACCAGGTCTAAATCAGGTCTAATCCAGGTCTAAAATCAGGTCTAAACCAGGTCTAAACCAGGTCTAAACCAGGTCTAAACCAGGTCTAAACCAGGTCTAAAATCAGGTCTAAAATCAGGTCTAAGCCAGGACTAAACCCAGGACTAAAATGAGGACTAAACCAGAACTCAAACCAAAACTAAAACCAGGTCTAAACCAGGACTAAACCAGGTCTAAACCAGGTCTAAAACCAGGTATAAAATCAGGTCTAAACCAGGTCTAAACCAGGTCTAAACCAGGTCTAAACCAGGTCTAAACCAGGTCTAAACCAGGTCTAAATCAGGTCTAAACCAGGTCTAAATCAGGTCTAATCCAGGTCTAAAATCAGGTCTAAACCAGGTCTAAAATCATGTCTAAACCAGGTCTAAAATCAGGTCTAAAATCAGGTCTAAGCCAGGACTAAACCCAGGACTAAAATGAGGACTAAACCAGAACTCAAACCAAAACTAAAACCAGGTCTAAGCCAGGACTAAACCAGGTCTAAAACCAGGTCTAAAATCATGTCTAAACCAGGTCTAAAATCAGGTCTAAAATCAGGTCTAAATCTAAAAAGGACTAAACTAAACCAGAACTCAAACCAAAACTAAAACCAGGTCTAAGCCAGGACTAAAATCAAGATTAAAATCAGGACTAAATCAGGACTAAACCTGGACTAAACCAAGTCTAAACCATGACTAAAATGAGGACTAAAACCAGGACTAAACCAGGATTTAAATCCAGGTCTGTTTTTGAGGAGGAAACAACATTAGAACTTGACTTAAAGCTCAAAAGAGTCAGTTTTAAGTAATAGAGGACTGCACTGTTCTTTTTAAAAATGTGAATAAATAAATAAAATTATTAAATTAAAATAAATAAATAAATAAAAATAATAATAATAACAATAATAATAATAATAATAAATTAATAAAATATATACATTAATTAATAAATAAAATAAAAACAAAACACTTCCAGCCAATAACAGTAATATAACCGTGTTTGTGTTTAAAGGGCTTTGGCGTTAAAAGAGGAGTTACAGAAGAAGACGGCGTCCCTCACTGAGACGCAGAAACAGTTTGAACACTCTGAGAAAGAGAGAGGAGCTCTGCAGAAGAACCTGGAGCGAGTGACCGAGGAGGTGAAAGGTCAACGCACAGAGCAGCAGAAGAAGGAGCAGGCGCTGACCTCCGACCTGCACAAAACTCAACAGGAGAGAGACGCCGTCAAGAAGGAGCTGCTGTCTGTGCAGGAAAACCTCGGGAAGACGGACAAGGCGCTGAAGGAGGCACAGGGTCAACTGGAGACCGAGAGAAAGAACCATAAAGCCTCCATGGACGAGAAGGTACGTTTAATATTCCACAGCTACGATCACGTACGAGAATCTGAAGGGTCATAGTTACAGACGGAGCGCAGTCTGCAGTTCTATGGAAATGGTTTAAAAGTAAATTAAAATAAAGAAATATTACCGTATTTTCTGCACTATAAGGGCTCTGGATTATAAGGCGCACTGTCATTGAATGGTCTATTTTCAAACTTTTTTCACATATAAACGGCACCGGACTTTAAGGAGCATTAAACGAAACACAACAGTTTGATAAGTCAGTCGAACTTTATTTAACGCGTTCACAATAACTCTCAACTTTGTTCAATTGTAACACGTAAAAAAAAAATCCTGTCTGAGACGCTAAACTGTTAGAAAATTGACAATAAGTCATAATAGTTGAAACAGTTGGGTGATTCCTGCGTCCACACTAGGGACGGGCATTCGATGAAATTTTCTTAATCGTTCGTCGGAAGAATTAACGATCGATTATCGATTAATCATTAACGTTTTTATATTAAAATGATCATCATTATTATTACTATCTGCACTAATCTGCATAAATAAATTCAACTTTACGACATATAAACATAACGACTCTAGATCCACATCAGCTGTTTGACATTATAATGTGTTTAATTCAGTTTTGTTCAAATCTCACAGAAACAAAACTTAAAACCACATCACTAATTTGCATAAACTCAGCGAAGATAAAACTCCAGCTCTTGTGTCGCTGATGTGGTTCAACTTGTGTTGGATTAAAAGACATGACTCAGGTGAATACAGGTCAGTGTGACCAGATTTGCGTTTGTCAAAACCAGGACAGCGTACGGGGGGAGGGGGGCGGGGCCTCGTCATCCACATTGAGCGACTCTCACCTGGAAAAACTTTTTCCCACTGGACACAGAAACATATGTGCTGCTTTATCCACTGTGCACATGGACTCACACTTGTCCCAACGCAACGGAAAGTGTGGAATTTCTTGTACAAATCATCTTTAAATCCACATTTGTGCTTCGGTTCGTTACAGACTGAACCACTGTTTGTGTCTCGCTCCTTCTGATGCAGAGACACATGTACACACCTGTTTGGTCACGACACACACAGCAACCTACATTCGGTTTGTCGATTAAAATGAACGTAATCGATGAAATTCTTAATGATCAATTATCGATTAATTGATTAATCATGCCCATCCCTAGTCCACACGTCCACATCCCTCTCGTCTTGATCTGAGTCAGTGTGGTTCCTGTTCCCTGGAGTTCAGTTCAGTGATGATTCAGGTCTTGGTGAAAGCTCGGACCACAGTTGATCCTGATCCTTAGGTCCGTTGGCAGATCGTGGCGTAAGTCTCTCGGTGAATGTGTGTTCTCCTTCTCTCAATCACTGCTCCCACGCAGCTAAACGCACTTTCACTTTCGAACAGCCTTGAGTGTAAAGTGGGCGTTGTGAGCGAGTCTCTTGACAGTTGCGTTTTGATATTAAAAGGAATCACAGTCTGTTTTACTCCTGATGCTCCTGACGACGGGAGCCGTAACGCTGCAAGTGGAGCGGCTTTGTACTTTACTAAAGTCGTACTAAGACACACCAAGAAATTCATATATAAGACGCTCTGGATTATAAGACGCACACTCGTTTTTGGATGAAATTAAAGTTTTTTAAGTGCTCCCTATAGTGCGGAAATTATGGTAATGCATTTTAACACTTTTTATTTATGATTTATTGTCTTTTATTGTATTAATTTGTCTATGCAGCACTTTTACTAGTTTATTGGTATTTATTTTAAGAGAACTCCTCATGTTAAATGATCTTGTTGGTGCTCTGGATTATAAAACGTAGTCTTTTTTGGATTAAATGAAAGGCTTTTAAGTGCGCCCTATAGTGCGGGAAATACGGTACCATTTGGACTGAAAGGCTGAACTGTACTTTTCCACAGGACAAAAGCAGTGAAAAGACCAAACAGGAGCTCACGAAGTCCAACGAAGCTCTCGGCAAAACCCTGAAGGAAACGAAAGAGCAGCTGGACAAGACGAAGGAGGTAAGAATGTAAAAAACGTCCTGTGAAAATGTTCGGTAACGCTGCAAACTTATGATCAAAATGTTTAAAATGAATCCGTTTTCGTTCCAAAATCCAGGAAGAGAAGAAGTTGAAGGAGCAGCTGAGTTCTTTACAGGAACAATGCACCAAGACTGTGGAGGGTTTAAAGGACAAAGAGAAGGACATCCACAAACTCCAGGCCCAGTTTAAATCTGCTCAGGCCACGTTTGACGAGGAGCTCAAGAAAATGAAAACGCAAGTGGCAAAGTTACAGGAAGTCAACGTTCAAAAGGTAAGAACGACGTTTTATACAATTATCATCATCTGCACTGGTTTATTAGACAAGTAATTAAGGTATTTATGTCTCAAATTAACTCTTAGAACATCTAAAAGCACAATAAAACAGACAAACCTCTTACATTTTTTTATTGTGCCTTTCATGGTCCTGGTTTGAGCCCACACTGCAGAAAAACTTGGCCAAAACGTAAGATATAAACACTTAAATCTATCAGAAAATGACTTAAAAGTAGTGAAATGATCTGTCCATGCAGCAAGATCATTTTACTTGCAGAGTTCTCTTAAAATAAACGACCTCTAGACCAGAATGACGCGTCTCAGAACTATTTATCCCATCTTTATACTTCATTTCTACAGCACATTTTAAAAACATGTCAGTTTCCAAAGTGCTGCACTGACAAATGAATGCAATAAAAGACAGTAAATCATAAATAAAAAACAATAAATAAAAAGGATCACACAACTCACGCGTCGTTAAAAGCCACAGAGTAAAAGTGGGTTTAAGACGAGAGTTTAAACACTCCACTGGGGGGAGAAGGTCCGGTCCTCCCTGGGTTTAAGTCTGGTCTTAGGCCCCATGAGCTGGACCTCGGACTTCACTTTTACAGTTTTGTAACATACTGATATTACAGTCACAGTTTCAGTCTTAACTTTACAACCGGCTCTTTGATGACAAACATGATCCAAATGTGACTCTTGGTGAAAATGAGTTTGACACTCCTGATATGAACAAAATAATAAATAAATAATAATAGAACAAACTCAAGATTAAAAAGACAAACTAAAAACATAAACAAGGAGTTTTGAGATGATTTAAATGAATTGAAAGATGTTAAAGTTCTAAAGGGTTTGGGTAAAAACATCTTCTAAAACTGATCAAAACTAGAGCCCGACCGATATATCGGTTGGCCGATATTATCGGCTGATATGGGCAACTTTAGGCATATCGGCTATCGGCCGATATGCTTGCTGATAGGGGCCGATATTTCACGTGGGCATGTTACACCTCGTTATAAAGCTTAGACTCTCTACATTCTGTTCATTTAATCCAATTTACAGACAGATAAATGTCCTAATATGTGGCTCCACATCAGTATTTATCTACGGAGTCATTTGTCTGTGTGTGTCCGTACTGTCCCTGAACACACCACAGAGTCGCGTCACTCACGTGTGTTTGTTTACACCTGCAGACACAGATCCAAACACTGAGATTATTTTCTTTTTACGGACAATCGGTTTGAGTCTGGATTAAAAGGACATTTATTAGTGCAGATTTGTGATGTGGGAGGAGCCTGTGTGAGCGGTGAGTGTTGGAAATATGTCGACTCTGAAGCTAGTTTTGGTCATTTGTTATGGGTTAGCTGCTGTAGCTCCCGCACATAAACAGACTGTTTTCTATTGGTCTGTTCTAAAGTGACTATATTGGCCGTATATTTGCTACTGGACCTGCACTGATATGTAAATGAGCTGTGAACAGACGTGTGAATTATGACATTTGCGCATATAATTAATTACCGCGGCGCGCACGTATTTACGGCTAAAGGCTAATAGCGCTACTTTCTTTACTAGTTATGGGTCCGTCGCGAACGAAATGACTCTTAGAACCGACTCTTTGAAGGGAACGACGGGAGCCTGATCCTTATTGGGAGCCGTGTTTTCTCTTTCTCTCACTTTTTTTCTCTTCACGCCGCGTGCAGATTCGTGGTTTGACAGCGGCAGCGGCTAAAAACGAAACTTTGAGAAATTTGCGTGTACGTAGGATTAAAAAAATAAAAATAAAAAAAACGAGCATATTTGACTGTAGTTTAGCATAAAATAAATAAGTCCCGGTTTAGTCCTTTTTCAGTCCTGGTTTAGACCTGGTTCAGTCCTGATTCAGTCCTATTTTTAGACGTGCTTTAGTCCTGCTTGCAACAAAAACAATCTGAAGAGCCACTTGGGAGCCAAAAGAACCAGCAGCTTTTAGTGAGCCGAGCCAAAAGAGCCGGTTCTCTAAAAAGAACTGGAATCCCCATCACTAGTGTCTAGAATGTGATGCAAAAATGCCATTAAGTCAACCTACTGTCTGTAAATATGATGTAAAGAGGCAGAATAACAATAAATGTTGCCTAAATAAACCCAATTTAAAATCCACCAGAGCCAAACCTAAGTTTTTTAAACAATTCAACATTTACAGTGAATTTTTACATCACTAAATATATCGGTGATTATATCGGCAGCTCCAACTCCCAGTATATCGGTTTCATATCGGCCACAACAAAATCCATATCGGTCGGGCTCTAATCAAAACAGTGGAGAGAATCCTTGTTTAAAATATAATAATTTCCTCACAAAAACATACTTTTACCACAATATTTTCCCTGATATTTGTTGATTTGTGTGTGTTTTCTGAGCTGTGGTGTGTGTCCTTCAGGGCGAGGAGGAGAGCCGGCTGCAGACTCAGATGGCGACTCTGGAGCAGAGTTTATCCTCGGAGAAGAACAGAACCTCCGAGCTCCAGACGTCTCTGCAGAAAAACCAGGACTCGCTGAAGAAGCTCCAGTCCGACCTGTACGGGAAAGAGTCCGAGGCGTCTGCTCTGAGGCAAGACCTGAAGGTACCTCAAGAGTTACTTTTTATGAAAACGCTGTGAGGACGCACCGGGAATGTTCCACAGTGGAGCATGAAAGGGCCCATCTCATGCAAAATCAACTTTTCAGAGCTAGTTTCTACCTTCTAAGAGTGATGTGTGGGCCTTGTATTTGTCGCTGAAGTGTTTTTTTTTAAATTGATTCAGCGTTTTTTATCAAATTGCAGAGTATTTCTGCCTCCCTCCCACGTGACAACAAACTAAAGCTGCTACAACGATGACGCGGCAGATGCACCTATGACACGTTTGACATAGCAGAAAGAGCTTCACACCCGCCCCCCGCCTCCACTCCACCTCCATCCCGCCATCAGTAATAATATTTATATTTCAAGACGATATAAAATATTACCTTCGGAATTTCCTGGCAGCAAACGCTCTCTGTTTCTGTGGGCATCGTCTGACAATTCCCACATGAACCTAAACAAAAGCGACAGCAGAAGCTCATTGTTCTACACTGCAGTGAACACGATATAATAAGTTTATCTACTAGTGTTTATTAAAACTTTACCAATCAGTAATGTTCAGCTGATGTGGACGTGGTGCTTGAGCTTCGTGCTCCTCAAAGTCCTCGTCCGATTCCGGGTCCAACACATGCGGCTGAACGCGCTGTGTCTCCATGATGAATAAAAGTTTATTCCTGCCGCTGTCAGGGTCACGTCTGTCTCCCCCTCCCTCCCTGAGACGGCGGAGCCTGTGCTTTCTCAGGACGGGCGGGGGGAGGAGCGAAAGTCAGACTTTCATAGTTCCTGGTGTTATCGAAAAAAAAATTATATATCTGTTGAAGATAAATAATGAATCCATTTGCGAAGCCTGATGAGTTTTTGGAATATAGACCGAGGTTTATTCTTGTTACAGCAGATATGGACAGGGCCGAGGCCTGTTCCGGCCAAAGCCCAACAGCCTCTCCCCTCCAGCCCTATGTTCCTACTACATCTCCCATGTCTCTCCCATGTCTCTGCCCATGTCTCTGCCCATGTCTCTGCCCATGTCTCTGCCCATGTCTCTGCCCATGTCTCTGCCCATGTCTCTGCCCATGTCTCTGCCATGTCTCTGCCATGTCTCTGCCCATGTCTCTGCCCATGTCTCTGCCCATGTCTCTGCCCATGTCTCTCCCCATGTCTCTGCCCATGTCTCTGCCCATGTCTCTGCCCATGTCTCTCCCAGAGCATTTGAGCTCTGAGTATTTATACAGAAATACAAGTTACATACATATCAAAGCAGAGTGACTTTGGTTTCAGAGGCTGGTGCTAAATGAACATACAATTGATGACAACAAAGGGCTTCCTGAAGGAGGAGACAGTTGTGCCTGATGAACCTTTACACATGTTCATGACTGCTCTGGGTTTCAGGTAGAAATCACATTCATTTACACAAAGACAGATTTAAAGAAATCTTTCCACAATCTGAATTTCTATCACACTGGTCTGTGACTGTCTCCAAGAAATCAGTAAGATTTCAGAACTATTGTGTAATGAATGTTCCAAAACCCAAACTGTGCTTGTTTATGTGCAGAAGATAGAATGTGAAAAGAGTTATTTTACATCAGATGGAACTTTTAAACCTTGTCCAACCTGTGTTTCCTCATCACAAACAGACCAGGAGTTGTGTTTTGTTTCATTCATGTTTTATTCGTGTTTTGATCACAGGTGTCAGAAGACAAGCTGAAGTTGACACAGGAGGAGTTGGCCGCTAACCAGACCCACCAGACCAGCTTAGAGGCTCAGATTCAGGAGCTAAAATCTGGAACCAAGTCTCTGGAGCAAGAGCTGAGCAAACGTGAGCAGAGGATCCACCAGCAGGAGGAGAACCTGAAGGAGCAGAACAAGCAAATGGTCTGTTCACATCTTACACTGTTCTTTTATACTTTTATTTCATACTAAAGAGCACGCACATGATTTTAGTTAATTATTGTTAAGATAAATGCTCTTTAAATTAGGGATAAACCAATATATATCTGCTTTTTTTCATGACCGATGTTGATACTGACTGTTTAAAATCCAAAGAAACTGACGACCGATTAGATCTGTCGATGTTTTTGGGCCAATATATGGGGCTGACTTTGATCTTCCTCCTAAATTATATCATTTAAAAATACTTCAAACTCACCACAGCCCATTTTTTACTACAAACCTTTAAGAGCTTTCAGTTTTCAGCAGTTCTCTCCTTGCACTTAAGCTGCAGGTCATAAATACTAATATATATATCGATCTATTTCTACTTTACATCATGCTCTTTGTGGTAAAAACTGTAAAATAAAATGAGAATAAAATCATAGAATAGAAATAAATAAACCAATAAATAAATTAAATCAATAAAACCAATAAAAACACATAAAAATAAATAAAAAATCACAGAGGAGCACACGACTCACGCGGTGTTAAAAGCCAGAGAATAAAAGTGGGTCTTAAGACGAGACTTAAAACTCTCTGTCACTGTGGGGCTGTTCGGACGTGGGGGGGCAGAATGTTCCAGAGTTTAGGGTCGACCACAGAGAAGGTCTGGTCCTCCTGGTTTTTAGTCTCGTCTTAGGCACCGAGAGCTGGAGCCGGACCTCAGACCTCAGAGCGCAGGGGGAATACATTTAGATGAGGTCCGAGTCGTACTGTGGGGCCAGAACATTCAAAGCTTTAAAAACAAACAATAAAATCTTAAAATCAACTCTAAAATTAACAGGAAGCCAGTGCAAAGACGCAAGGATTGGGGTGATGTGCTCTCTTCTTTTTGTTCCTGTTAAAAGTCGCGCTGCAGAGTTTTGGACTGTCGTCGGTAAAGTGCGATTTGTGAAATGCTGGAATAAAGTGCGTCACAGTCGTCCAGGCGTGATGAAATAAAAGCACGACTTGTTCAAAAAGCTACAAATGACAAAAACTTGATTTTAAAACATTGTTGATCTGTTTGTCAAATTTAAAATCACTGTCTGTCAAACATACGGCCCGGGGGCCAGATCCGGCCCTCCAAGACCTTTAATCTGGCCCTCGGCTGATTTTCTTCTAAAATATTTTATTATATTTTCTATTAAAATCTTGTTAATTTTGCGCGGTGCTGAGCAGAGCAGCGTCTCCAGCGTCTCTGTACGTGGCCCCTCCCACCAGAGCAGCACAAATGAAGACTTGTCTCTTTCCAAACGCTCTTAAAGGACGATCGTTTTGACTGTTGACCGTGACACCCTCATCAGAAAAATGTCCAACATGAGAAAAGTGGAGCCGAGTGCAGGATTTTACAACAAAAATTGACTTATTCTTGTTTGCACACAAGTTCATGTTAAAACATTGTGTTGAAATTACATTTTTCTTAAAGTTTCAGGTTGTTCATAATATTATAATATTTTGTAAAAGAAAGAGTTCATCAATTAAAAAAGATTTCTGTAATAGATTTGTGTTTCTCTGCACAAATATTTGAACTTATTGTTATTTTTGGGGTTTATATGACATGAGTTTTCTGATCCGGACACTTTGGGATCAGAGTCGGTTGGATACGACCCCCGGACCAAAATGAGTTTGACTCTCCTGGGTTAAGACCCTAAGGTTGGTGACTGTGGGACAAACATAAATTTTGAAGGGTCCCACATCAGTGAGGGAACTGCTGGCCCCAAACAGTTTCACCTCAGTCAAGTTTAATTATTTCGACATGTGTAATGTAGTAATGATAATAAACAGAGTGCAAAAATATAATTGTATATGTTTGTGTATAAGTAAAAGGGGAAATACTTCATAAACTAAATTCCAAATAATTATTATATAAAAATTAAAATTTGAGTGGAGCTGTTGGAGACTGAGCTCCTCTGTCCCTCGATTTAAGGGACACTCACAAACGTACACGAGAAGCTCAAATAAATCATGAATAATTAAAAATATCTGTTCCATTTCAGTTTGACACATTCGGAACTGAAAAATAAAAATTTTGTCAACAAATATTGAGTCAAATATATTTGTCAATCTACGTAATGAGTTCCTGTCATCGTGCAATATCCGAATAGGAAAAGACGAAGACTGAAGCTCTTTTAATGTTTTTTTATTGAATGTGATTTAATATTTTCAGGCTCAGATGAAGGGCGAGCTGGAGAAGGGGAGGAGCCAAGTGGACGAACTGAACAAAGCAAAATCCGCGTTAGAAAAGAGCAACAGTAAACTGAGCGCAGATTTAAAGACGCTCAAAGAGAAGATGGAGAAGGTGAGAACGATAAAAGGAGGTGATATTTCTTTGTCTTCAGTGTTTCAGGTTTCTACAGTTTTAGTCCTGGTCCAGTTCTAGTCGAGTCCTGGTTTAGACCTGGTTTAATGCTGGTCCAGTTCTGGTTTCGACCTGGTTCAGTCCTGGTTCCTGGTTTAGACCTGGTTTAGACCTGGTTTAGACCTGGTTTAGTAGAGACCTGGTTTAGACCTGGTTTAGACCTGGTTCAGTCCTGGTTCAGTCCTGGTTTAGACCTGGTTTAGACCTGGTTTAGACCTGGTTTAGTCCTGGTTTAGTTTAGACCTGGTTTAGACCTGGTTTAGTCCTGGTTTCCTGGTTTAGTCCTGGTTTCCTGGTTTAGTTTCCTGGTTTAGACCTGGTTTAGACCTGGTTCAGTCCTGGTTCAGTCCTGGTTTAGACCTGGTTTAGACCTGGTTTAGACCTGGTTTAGACCTGGTTCCTGGTTTAGACCTGGTTTAGACCTTCCTGGTTCCTGGTTCTCCTGGTTCAGTTTGTTTTTCCTGGTTTAGACCTGGTTTAGTCCTGGTTTAGTGGTTTAGACCTGGTTTAGTTCTTTTTGTTGAGAATGGTTTAAATTTTAAAGTTCTATGGTTTAATGGTTTATTCGTGTAATGTTTTATATTTAAATACAGAAATATTGTAATGGAAAAAAAAATACTTTAAAATGACAGTAAAAAGTCATAAAAACACATGAGAGTTTTAAAGTCACTTGCCCAACAGTGGAAATTAAGGATGCATTTCTGTAAGTCCCAGTCCCTCAAATACACCTGTACATCTCTCATCTCTGTTGTTTTTTGTTTTTTTTTCTTCTTCCAGGAGCTGGTGGAGCTGCAGGAGGCCAAACAGCTCCTGATCCAACAGAAACTGGAGCTGCAGAGCAAAGTGGAGGCAGCAGAGGGCGCACTGGAGCAGGAGCAGAAACAGCATCAGCTCACGAGGGACGGCAAGAGCAAGAAAGAAGAAGCTCTGCTCGGTCAGACCAAGACTCTGCAGGACCAGCTGGTGAGAAACACAAACAATTTAATCATCAAAACTGTGAAAATGTCACATGAAAGTGTTCCTTTTCACTAAACAAGCAACAAAACTGTAGCTGCAATGAAATAATTCAGTAAAATAAACCAAAAAATCCTCTTGGTGATATATCGATACAGTAGCCCACGATATTGATACTGTATCATCACATTAAACGATACGATATGTTGATATTTTGACATTTTTGCACAGCCCTGATTGTAAACAACAGAAAAGCACATTTCTCGAAAAGGAGCGAGAAGAAGAAAAAACTCATATGAACCTTCACTCATCACAAATCACAATTAAACGAAAAAAAATAAAAATAAAAAATCTATTTTCTTCATTATTTGTTTCCAAAACCAAAATGAAGAAACAGATGATTTGTTTTTTCAGTTTTAGATTTTGTGTTCAAATGAAAAATGGAAAAAATGGATAATGGACTGAACCAGGACTAAACCAGAACTGACCCAGGACTAAACCAGAACTGACCCAGGACTAAACAAGGACTGACCCAGGACTAAACCAGAACTAAACCAGGACTGAACAAGGACTGAACAAGGACAAAACCAGGACTAAACCAGAACTGGACCAGCATTAAACCAGGTCTAAACCAAGACTAAATCAGGTCTAAATCAGGTCTAAACAAGGTCTAAACAAAGTCTAAACCAGGTCCAAACCAGGATTAAACCAGGTCCAAACCAGGACTGAACCAGGACTGAACCAGGACTGAACCAGGACCTGAACCAGGACCGGAAACAAATAGGGAGTGAGACCAGGACTGAGACCAGGATTTAGACTGGGACCAGGACAGGACTGAGACTGGGACTGAGACCGGAACTGGGAGCAGACCTGGACTGAAAACAGTTTAGTCCTGGTTCAGTCCTGGTTCAGTCCTGGTTCAGTCCTGGTTCAGTCCTGGTTCAGTCCTGGTTCAGTCCTGGTTCAGTCCTGGTTCAGTCTGGCATCGCAGTTTAAGTCACATAAACGCGATTCGTTTTTTCCATTTTTCATTTAAACACAAAATCGAAAACTGAAAAAACACATCATTATCTGTTTTTTCATTTTGGTTTTGGAGACAAATAATGAAGAAAATAGTTTTTTTGTTTTCATATTTTTGGTTTTATATTGAAAAACAAATGAATGACACAGATTATTGTCCGACTCTAGTCCTGGTTTAGTCCTGGTTTAGTCCCTTTTCAGTCCTGGTTTAGTCCTAGTCCTAGTCTAATCCTAGTCTAGTCCTGCTTTAGTCCTGGTTTAGTCCTAGTCTAGTCCTGGTTTAGTCCTGGTTTAGTCCTGCTTTAGTCCTGGTTTAGTCCTAGTCTAGTCCTGGTTTAGTCCTGGTTTAGTCCTGGTTTAGTCCTGGTTTAGTCCTGGTTTAGTCCTGGTTTAGTCCTGGTTTAGTCCTGGTTTAGTCCTGGTTTAGTTTAGTCCTGGTTTAGTCCTGGTTTAGTCCTGGTTTAGTCCTGGTTTAGTCCTGGTTTAGTCCTGGTTTAGTCCTGGTTTAGTCCTGGTTTAGTCCTGGTTTAGTCCTGGTTTAGTCCTGGTTTAGTCCTGGTTTAGTCCTAGTCTAGTCCTGGTTTAGTCCTGGTTTAGTCCTGGTTTAGTCCTGGTTTAGTCCTGGTTTAGTCCTGGTTTAGTCCTGGTTTAGTCCTGGTTTAGTCCTGGTTTAGTCCTAGTCCAGTCCTAGTCCTAGTCCTGGTTTAGTCCTGGTTTAGTCCTGGTTTAGTCCTGGTTTAGTCCTGGTTTAGACCTGGTTTAGTCCTGGTTTAGTCTGTATATCGTTACAAATCGAAAGTGTTTTTTTGTATTCAGATCCGTATCGTGTTTATCGTATCAGTAAGTTCTGACTTCTAACCTTTGCCGACCGTGTGACGTTTCAGGCGTCAGAGAAGCGAGCGCGAGAGGAGCAGGTGCGGCGCGGCGAGGAGGCGGAGACCAAACTCAGCATCCAGGTGACGGCGCTGAACGAGAACGTGGCGACGCTGAAGAGGGAGTGTCAGAGCAGCCAGAGACGCGTGAGCGAGCTGGAGAAACAGACGGACGAGCTCAGAGGAGAGATCGCCGTCCTGGAGGCCACGGTCCAGAACAACCAGGACGAGAGGAGGGCGCTGCTCGAGAGGTCAGACAACACATCCTAAAGAGACAGAATGACTCTTATGACTCGACTCCAGCGGTCCTCCAAACGGCTCGCAGTTACCGGAAGACGTTACCAGAAACATGCGGATGACGACTTCCGGTGTAGTTCCCGACGAGGAAACACAAAGGAAGTCGTCATCCACATGTTTCTAAATGTCTTCTGGTTTTGTGATGTAAACGTGAATAGAGCCGTTAAATTTTCCAGAGGACCAAAACATTTCCACTTTATATAAACTAGGTCCACAAAAAATGTGTTATTTGCCAAAATACAAAGGTCAAAATGGCGTTGATCAAAAAATGTGCATTTATTACTTGTGTGGTTCATGTGTGTTTGTGTTAAATGTGTTTTAAATCCGACACAAACACGTGTACAAATAATTTCCACTTCCTCCGTGCGTGTTTGTTTAATCGTTGCTTAATGGAAGGTTTAGTTTTGGCAAAGTGTGACCCCCTGACTGATAAATGTTCACCAAGAGAAGGATATATACTGTTTACAATCATACACCCTAGTGGTCACTCTGAGGTATTACACCTGAAGTCGAGGGAGTTTGAGTGTCAGTACTGAATGTTTTTGAGTTGACGGGTTTTAATTGGGGACCAGAGTTGGCCTGTGCACCGCCCATTTGAGACTCAGGTTCTGTTCTATAAAATCATTAATCTTGGATTTAGACTTAAACTTTACTGATCAACAAGGGGAAATATTTTCACATGTGTAATGTTGCAATAATAATAAACAAAGAGCAAAGAAGAAATTCAGTTTGTCAACTGGACAAATGTTTATTCAGCTCACATCTTCAGTTCTGCAGAGTTTGTCCAGTCGACAAATTGAATTTCTCCTTTGTCATAGATTCAACCTGGACGACTGAGAGTTTCTACACACAGAGAATAAACAAAGTGCAAAAATACAACTGTATATGTTTGTGTGTAAGTAAAAGGGGAAATACTACTAATAGTTTTTGCTAGAAATAATGTAAATACAAAATAATTAGAATGTAAATATAAATATTTGAGTGGAGCTGTAGGAGCTTGTAGGAGACTGAGTTCCTCTGTTCATCAGACAGACATGTCAAACTCCGGCCCAGAGACCAAATTTGGCCCACGATATAATTATATTTGGCCCACGAGATCATATCAAATGGAGCTGCCGCTGCACACAGATCGACTGTAGAGACATTGTTTATTTAAAATGTTGTTATTATTTTATATTCTGTTTGTTTTGGATTCAGTGTTTAAGCAAAACTATTATTAAACATTTATTTTAATAAGAAAAGGTTTAACATTACAGATCTCGAAAGAAGAGAAAACATGCAGATGACGTTGAAATTTTTCAATAAATATTTAGTTTGTCCCACGACTTAGTCCCAGTTTTTAATTTTGGTCTCTGTGGATTTGAGTTTGACTCTCTTGATCTAAGAGACGCTCACAAACGTAACAGGAGAAACTCAGAGAAATCATGAATAATAACAAACACGTGTGCGGTTCATTTCAGTTTGACACATTGAGAAGTGCTGAAATGTGTTTCCTTTTGTGAAGCGCTTTTAAAATTTTAAAAGTCCAACTACAGTCAGTTTATATTTCAGTCTGAGGTCACTCACCGTCATTAAAGTTTTACTCAACACAGACACACGACCAAGACACGACCACAGGAAAACTCTGAGCCTCATTAAACAGAGAGTGTGTGTGTGTGTGTGTGTGTGTGTGTGTGCGTGTGTGCGTGTGTGTGTGTGTGTGTGCGTGTGTGTGTGCGGTGTGCGTGCGTGTGTGCCGTGTGGTTGCGTTTTTGAAAATTTTTTACCTATCAATGTGTTGAAATTTCCATGTGAAATGAGCTATTAATGTTCACTGTTCAACTGGGTCCAAGTCTTTTAGAGTCTGTGGCCTTAAACCTGAGCTGAAAAATCTGTTTTTCTTTAATAACATCAAAAATAATTAATTTTAGTCGAATAGTATCAGTGGAAGTTGAACATAAATATGGACGTTGTGGATCATTTGGTACCAGTTTTATGTTTCTATCATCATTAGTTTCTGAGATATGGCAAAAGTGTCATTTGGGACTTCAGGGACCTTGAATAATAATAATAATAATAATAATAAATAATAAATAATAAATATATTACTACTACTACTGCTACTGATGATGATGATAATAAATAATAAATACATAAATAAATAATACATAAATACACTACTACTACTACTACTACTACTACTACTACTACTACTACTACTACTACTACTACTACTACTACTACTACTACTAATAATAATAATAATAATAATAATAATAGACTGATGATGATGATGATATTTATATATATATATAATAAAGTTATGAGATCCTTATAGACACTGTTAGGATGGAATTTCAGACACTTGTTGGACCCAGTAGATTTTGTTCAATTGTGCAAATATTCCACAGATTTTCTTTTAATTGGTATTGACACATTTTAAAATTGGGTGCAGCCTCATCCCTGTGCTTGTGTGTGTGTGTGTGTATAGACGTGTGTGTACTCATACATGTGTGTGTGTGTGTGTTTATGTGACAGGTGCGTTAAAGGGGAGGGCGAGATCGAGAAGCTCCAGACCAAAGTGGTGGAGCTGCGACGCAAACTGGACGACACGACGGCCGCCATGCAGGAGCTCGGCCGAGAAACCAGTCCCTCCAGGTCTGAACATTTACACACAAAAAAAACAAAACACACTCACCAAAGTCTGAGCCAGTGACAAATGAGTCCAACAAATCTGCTCCCGGACCTTTTCCTCTCGTTCTGTTTTAAACCACGGGCTGTTTAAATGTTTTATATTTGTTGTGTCTTTGTTCTTTTCCGTTTCAGATTAAACAGTCTCAGTCTCTGACCCGGAAGTGGGCTGACGACAGCGAGGTGCAGAACTGTATGGCCTGTGGAAAAGGATTTTCAGTCACGATTAGGAAGGTGAGACTGAAGATCGAGGTTCAGGTTTTTGTTTTATTTATTTAATTATATTAAGAGTTAAAGGGTCAGATAAAGGGACACGATTTTCTGACCTGTTCTAATGTTTCCTCGTCACAAACAAACCTGAAGTTGTGTTTTTGTTTTGTTTCATTCACATGTTTAACTCACAAACCTGCACATTTAGAGGAAGTTCTTCTCTTAAACAGAAAACACTGTGTTCCACCTTGTGATGTCATGTGGTGATACAGGAATTACTATATTACACAAAATGGATTGTAGTGAGTTTTAAACCGTGTTCAAAACATGTTTGTGTAACACTTTATTATTATTAGTCTGTCTACGTCTCCAAACCTCAAAACGCTCTGTTCCACCTGTAGCGTTTTCAGATCGACAGAACCGCGCTGGTTCCAGTTCCCAAACCAAATCTTGAACCGACTGAAATGTTCACGCCAAAAATCAGAGCGTTCAGGAACCGAAAGTAAACCTTGTTTTTCAAAGTGAACTGTGACGATACAGTCGACATGAGCAGGTTCATCAGGTCAAATGAACAGAAGAAAAAGTGTGTGGAATATCAGAGGAGAACAAATATTTACTGTGTCTGTGTTCGCCGAGTGAGGCTCCATCTTTGGACTGGGCAACGTGACCGTCTTCTCCTCACCAGATGTTTCTCCACAGCAGACGTTTGTCCCCAGCAGATGTTTCTCCACAGTAGACGTTTCTCCACAGCAGACGTTTCTCCTCAGCAGATGTTCCTCCACTGCAGATCTTTGTCCACAGCAGACGTTTCTCCACAGCAGACATTTCTCCACAACAGATGTTTGTCCACAACAGATGTTTGTCCACAGCAGACGTTTGTCCACAGCAGACGTTTGTCCACAGCAGACGTTTGTCCACAGCAGACGTTTCCACAGTCGTTTCTCCACAGTAGACGTTTCTCCACAGTCAGTGTTTGTCCACAGCAGATTTTCCACAGCAGACGTTTGTCCACAGTAGACATTTCTCCACAGCAGACGTTTCTCCACAGTAGACGTTTCTCCACAGCAGACGTTTCTCCACAGCAGACGTTTCTCCTCAGCAGACGTTTCTCCTCAGCAGATGTTTCTCCACAGCAGATGTTTCTCCTCAGCAGATGTTCCTCCACTGCAGATCTTTGTCCACAGCAGACGTTTCTCCACAGCAGACGTTTGTCCACAGCAGATGTTTGTCCACAGCAGACGTTTGTCCACAGCAGACGTTTGTCCACAGCAGACGTTTCTCCACAGCAGACGTTTCTCCACAGCAGACGTTTCTCCACAGCAGACGTTTCTCCAGCAGACGTTTCTCCACAGCAGACGTTTCTCCACAGCAGACGTTTCTCCACAGCAGACGTTTCTCCACAGCAGACGTTTCTCCACAGCAGACGTTTCTCCACAGCAGACGTTTCTCCTCAGCAGACGTTTCTCCACAGCAGACGTTTCTCCACAGCAGACGTTTCTCCACAGCAGACGTTTCTCCACAGCAGACGTTTCTCCACAGCAGACGTTTCTCCACAGCAGACGTTTCTCCACAGCAGACGTTTCTCCACAGCAGACGTTTCTCCACAGCAGACGTTTCTCCACAGCAGACGTTTCTCCAGAGCAGATAAATGATGATTTGTCTCAGTAGAAACTCTCGCTGGCGTCGATGGTTTGATCCATGTTTGTTATTTTCCTCTTTCGTTTGGCCTTGTTTCTATTTGGTGATAAATCTGTTCCCTCTGTCGACGTGTCAAAGGTTCTTTTAAACGGTTTGAACGCGGCTCGTTCACAGTAAGAACTTTGGTTCCCCGTGTAACTGATGCAGGAACCTTCACCGTTTTGGCCGATCTGAAAACAGCTCCTCTGACGTCATGAAGTAGTAGTTTTCAGTTGAACAGCTCCTTTTTCATTTGATTCAGTAGAGATCGGCAACTCCAGGGTTGAAATGATCAAAATGATTCTAGTGAAGGTGAGTGGAATTAAAAACACAGTGGAGCACTTCCTGTATTATCACATGACATCACAAAGTGGAGCAGTGTTTTCAGTTTGTAGTAAGAAATCTGTAAGGTTTGTGTGTTCAAAAAATCCACAAAAAGCACAACTCCAGGTGTGTTTGTGCCGAGGAAACATCAGAACGTCAGAAACTCGCCTCATCTTGTCTCTTTAATCCCGTCTTTTCCCGTTGTGTCTCTTGCAGCACCACTGCCGACACTGCGGGAACATCTTCTGCGCCGAGTGTTCGTCGAGAAACGCTCTGACGCCGTCTTCTAAAAAACCCGTGCGAGTTTGTGAGACGTGCTTCGAGGAGCTCCAAGGCTAAGCGCCCGCCCGCGCCCGCCTGTACCCGCCGGGCCGAGGGCACCAGCGTCTCTTTGTAACGTCTAAATTCATGTGCACTATAAAAGGACAGACCCCGTACTGAGCTCCCACCTCTAACTTCTCTAAAAAAAAAAAAAAAGCAGTGGGTTTGTCTGTGTTTTTGTGCCTTCGCTGCTCCCGTGGACTGTGCCAGAAGGGGGAGACACTGAGACATTAATGCCATTTGTCTTGCGTTTTTGTTTTTTTTGTTTTATTTGTTTTTGTTTTTTTCGTTTGGATGATCTGCTGTACTGTGATCGGGACGACGCCGCCGCCGCCGCCGCCGCCGCCCGTCAAACATCTGCAAAAGTGAAAGTAGAAATTGTAAACGTTGGCGAAAATGTCGATTCTACAAAGGCAAAGACGGTAACGACGAGGCCAGTTTCAACAGTATTTGATTATTTTTTTAAACAAAGAAAAATATATTATAGAAATTTATAAATATTTTGGAAACAACATTGAAAAAAAATCTCAACTTTCTGCGGATTAAAGTGCACATGACAGGTTTTGATAATTCTCTCATTTTGACGGTAAAGGAGAATTTAGGTTTGTCCATTTGGCAAATTCAGGGTTCCCACAGTCATGGAAATCCTGGAAATGTCATGGAAATTGAAAATGTCATTCTCCAGGCCTGGAAAAGTCACAAAATTTTGTAAATTCAACGAAAGTTTTGGAAAAGTCTTGGAGTTTTAGTATCTCTTTCACACAGCTCCAATTGTTTGAGGTGCAACAAAATTCAAAAACAAAACAAAAACAGGGAAATGTAGATGAACATATTTGGGATCTGTTCAAAAAGAGAAGGATGAAGTTTAAAAAAACGTCTAGTGTCTTAACCCAACTGTTTTACATAATCATGTGAAACTATTTAGATTATTTCTGTTGTTTAAAAGAGACGACAATAAATGCACTGACAGGATTTAGAATGTTTAAAACTATAATCCCAAACCATAAGGTCTAAAAGTCTGATCGGTTCTACACATGTAGGAGCCATAAAGTCATGGAAAATTCACTTTAGCTCATGGAAAAAGTCATGGAAAAGTTTAGAAATTTTGTCAGTGAAAAAAAGTGGGAACCTGTAAATAGATTTTCTCCTTTGCTGGATTCTACGTGGACGACTGAGGGATTTAACTCACGAGCCAAACCACAGCTGGACGTTAAGAAACTTGGAAAAGGAAGATAAAATTTCAGCAGATAAGAGGAATCATTTACGCTTTAACCTCAGATGTCGACAGAAACATTTTCAAACTAAATAAACGTTTGTCCAGTTGACAAATTGAATTTGTCCTTTGCTGTGGATTCTACGAGCCTCATTAGACAGTTTCACTTTGTCAAAACTGTGTGACCTCACAGCATTAGGATTCGTTCGCTCGACAGTACATGGGTACTTTTTAAAAATTTAACCCAGGGGTGTCAAACTCATTTTGTTCCGGGGGTCGTGTCCAACCGACTTCGATCCCAAAGTGTCCGGATCAGAAAACTCATGTCATATAAACCCCAAAAATAACAATAAGTTCAAATATTTGTGCAGAGAAACACAAATCTATTACAGAAATCTTTTTTAATTGATGAACTCTTTCTTTTACAAAATATTATAATATTATGAACAACCTGAAACTTTAAGAAAAATACAATTTCAACACAAAGTTTGAACATGAACTTGTCTGTAAACAGGAATAAGTCCATTTTTGTTGTAAAATCCTGCACTCGGCTCCACTTTTCTCATGTTGGACATTTTTCTGATGAGGGTGTCACGGTCAACAGTCAAAACGATCGTCCTTTAAGAGCGTTTGGAAAGAGACAAGTCTTCATTTGTGCTGCTCTGGTGGGAGGGGCCACGTACAGAGACACTGGAGACGCTGCTGTGATAAACACCACAGAAAATTAACAAGATTTTAATAGAAAATATAATTACAATATTTTAGTAGAAAATCAGCCGAGGGCCAGATTAAAGGTCTTGGAGGGCCGGATCCGGTCCCCGGGCCGTATGTTTGACACACCTGGTTTAACCAATCGCTGCTGTTTGGTTGTGACGTTTGTAATGCACCAAATCCTGTAGGAAGAAGAACAATAACGTCGTCTTTCCCCAAGATAAAATTCACCAAACTTTCTCTTTGTTCCGGCTTTAAATCCTCGATCTTGGGAATCGTTGACACAGAATGTCTGACTCTTCTCTGATTGGCTGCAAACCGTCTAGTGGATTCTGATTGGATTCTACCTAATTTTGACTAAATTTGTTGGGATAAAACCTGTTCATTTTAAATATAATTTATACTTTTACACAAATCAAGAAGCAGTTTGCGAAGAAAAGTTGAAAAACACGTTGAAAATCACAGGAAGCAGAGAGTCTCACACTGACGTCGCACTGAGAGAATCCTGTCCAAACGTTTGGCTCAATTTACACAAAAGAAACCCAATTTTCTGACACTTTAAAGGTGCATTGTGTAACTTTTCCGGTGGAGAGTCCCACAAAATCTTTTCTATCTTCATAGAGACCGAACCAGACCAAGTTCCAGGTCAGATCTGTGGAGAGAATGTCTGTTTTTCTAGGGATTTTTGAGCTTTAAAACCACCTGGAATTGAATAAATGTAAAGTAGAGCTGTTTAAAGTCATACTGCGGAACATTCCAGACAGAGAAACAAGCAGGTGACGAACCCCAACCTAAAAGTTACACAGTGCACCAACAAAATAAAGGCATTTTTTAAAATATTTTTATTCATTAAATCATCATTTCTGTAACATTAGAGGAGTTTTAGCCAAGTGGAAATAAAAACATTGTTGCCGGGGAATTCTCTAGTGTCTTGTTACAATTTCCAGTCAGAAAGTAAAATTTGAAACTGTAAAAAATGGCCAAACTTGGAAAAATAATGAGAAAATGTTAAATATAATAAATAAATATAATGATCTTAACTGTGTTTTAGTGAAAAGAGTCGTCCAACCTGTCATAGGCACTTTACGGCCGCGTCGCATTTCTCTTTCCTCGCTTCCTTTCTCCTCGATTCCTTTCTCCTCGATTCGTTTCCTCGATGCTCCGTTTTTCAGCTGTCAATCAAAGGCGTCATATTAAGCGTCGACCCAAAGAAAAACACGGAACGAAAGAGTAAAACTGAGGAGACTTCAGGAGCAAACGCCTGTGGAACCAGAACTAAACCAGAACTAAACCAGGACTAAACCAGATCTTAAAACCAGGTCTTAAAAACAGGGCTAAAACAGGTTCAAAACAGATCTTAAACCAGGACTACATCCAGGACTAAAACAGGATTTAACCAGGTCTAAAACAGATCTAGAACCACAACTAAAACCAGGACTAAATCAGGTCTAAACTAGGTCCAAAACAGGTCCAAAACCAATCTAAAACCAGGACTAAAAACAGGACTAAACCAGGACTAAAACCAGGACAAAACACAGGTCTAAACCAGGTCTAAAACAGATCTAAAACCAGGACTAAATCCAGGATTACACTACGTCTAAAAGAGATCTAAAACCAGAAATAAAACCAGGACTAAAACCAGGTCCAAAACCAGGACTAAAACCAGGACTAAAAGTGATCAGAGAAAAAAAAAATCTAACTTTATTGGTCTCAGTGATGAGTTTTTATCTACAAAACAGGTCCAAAACCGACCTAAAACTAGGACTAAAACAAGATCTAAACCAGGTCCACAACAGGTTCAAAACCAGGACTAAAACCAGGACCAAAACCAGGACTAAAACTGATCAGAGAAAAAAAAGAATCAAACTTTACTGGTCTGAGTGACGAGTTTAGATCTTTTCGTGGGACTTCCTCAACCGTTTCCTGCAGAATCGAGGAGAAGAACGTGAGGAAAGAGAAACTTAATGCGGAATTTATCGCAAAACACACAAAAAAACAAAAAAAACCCGCAAAACCCCACAAAAACACAAATCTCATTTACATTTCCAGATCTTGTAACGTGATTTAAATGTCGACAGAAACACACTAAACTGTAAAACGTAAAACGCTACGAAATCATTTGATAACTGATGCTGATTTAAACATTTTGATTTTGCAGGATTTATTTTTTTTATTTTTATTTTTTTTTTGCAATCGTATTTTTACTCATGAACCGAAAAGTATTGAGAGTTTTACTGTTCGTTGCCTTTGTGGAACTTCTGTTTGTGTTTTCGCCGATTTCATGACCAAAGAATGTGTGACAGGAAAATAGGTTTTATCGTCATCTTTCATATCTGTCTGTTTTTTAAATTATTTTATTTTTATTTAAAACGAGCCGCGGGGACGTCGAGATTATTTCACTGACCTGTAAATGATTTTTGATTAAAAGTTTGTCTCTGTAATCGTGACGGTTTTGGAAGCAAAGTTAAGTCATTTCTCCAAAAAGTAAAGTAAACTCTGTGGTGGAAAAAGTGCTTAAAGCTGCATTGTGTAACTTTTGTTTCTATGGAGACGCCACTGATTTGTCTGGAATGTTCCGCAGTGTGACATTAAACAGCTCGACTTTATGTTTATTCAGTTACAGGTGGATTTAAAACTCAAAAATATCTAGAAAAATAAACATTCTGACTGTGAGGACTAAAGACAGACTAAACCAGGACTAAAACCAGAATTAAAACTGGGTCTAAACCAGGTATAAACCAGGTCCAAACCAAGTCTAAACCAGGTCTAAACAAAGACTAAACCAGGTCCAAACCAAGTCTGAAACAGGTCTAAACCAGGTCTAAAACCAGGTCTAAACCAGGTCTAAACCAGGTTTAAACCAAGTCTAAACCAGGTCTAAACCAGGTTTAAACCAGGTCTAAACCAGGTCTAAACCAGGTCTAAACCAAGTCTAAACCAGGTCTAAACCAGGTCTTAAACCGGTCTAAACCAGGTCCAAACCAGGTCTAAACCAGGTCTTAAACCGGTCTAAACCAGGTCTTAAACCGGTCTAAACCAGGTCTTAAACCGGTCTAAACCAGGTCCAAACCAGGTCTAAAACAGGTCTAAACCAAGTCTAAACCAGGTCTAAACCAGGTTTAAACCAGGTCTAAACCAGGTCTAAACCAAGTCTAAACCAAGTCTAAACCAGGTCTAAACCAGGTCTTAAACCGGTCTAAACCAGGTCCAAACCAGGTCCAAACCAGGTCTAAACCAAGTCTAAACCAGGTCTAAACCAGGTTTAAACCAGGTCTAAACCAGGTCTAAACCAAGTCTAAACCAAGTCTAAACCAGGTCTAAACCAGGTCTTAAACCGGTCTAAACCAGGTCTTAAACCGGTCTAAACCAGGTCCAAACCAGGTCCAAACCAGGTCTAAAACAGGTCTAAACCAAGTCTAAAACAGGTCTAAACCAGGTTTAAACCAGGTCTAAACCAGGTCTAAGCCAAGTCTAAACCAGGTCTTAAACTAGGTCTAAAACAGGTATAAACCAGGTCTAAACCAGGTCTAAACCAGGTTTAAATCAGGACTAAAACAGGTCTAAACAGATCTAAAACCAAAATTGAAACCAGGACTAAAACAGGAGAAACAGTACGTTTTGTCTTTTGTGGTGAAGGACGTTACGATATTTGTCAGGATTAAATTTCAGTCTTTGTGACAGCGTAAATTTAAATTGCGATTTCGATTCAATTGCGATGAGGTAAAGTGTATTTTTTTTCCCAATCTTTAATAATTTTTTGTAACGTTATGATTCATGAGACGGGTCACACGATGACGTCGCTCTGGGGGATTTCTGTCCAAAAGTTCAACGCGATTTACACTTTCTCTGACACTTTAAAGCTGCACTGTGTAACTTTTCTTTGGAGAGTTTGTCAAACGCCTTTTTCTCTTCGCTCACAGTCAGAATGTTTGTTTTTCGAGGTATTTTTGAGCTCTAAAACCCGCACCTGTGATTGAAAAAACGTAAAGTAGAGCTGTTTAAAGTCACACTGCGGAACATTCCAGACACAGCAGTGACGTATCCATAGAAACGAGCAGGCGACGGACCCAAAAAGTTACAAGGTGCAGCTTTATACATAATTTCTACTAAATAAAGGTGTTTTTTTTAACATTTGTAACATTATATTTCATGAATTTGATCACATCTTATGAAAAAAAACAACATTTTCACAGTTTTTGGATTGTGTTTTCAAAAACTATTTTAATTTTCAACATTTATTCTTGTTTTTTGTGTGTGTCTTGACGTCCCTGGCGGCTGTGACGAGATCATTTTGTCATTTTGTCCACGTTTCTCAAGTGTAAAGTGGAATTTCTTGCCAGTTGCCTGTTGGATCTTTTGTTTTTTGTTTTTTTGTTAATTTAATTAGTTTTTCTGCTGCTGCTGTTGTTGTTTTTTTTCTCACCGCACTAAAGATCACAGCTGTGTGTGTGTGTGCGCGTGTGCGTGTGTGTGTGTGCGCAGCTTTGAAGCAATAATGTGTGACGTTAGCAGTGTGACGTGTTTTAGTGTGCGCAGAAAACTGACCGTGTAAAGAAGTGGACTGAAGGAGTGTGACGTGGATCTGGCTCCAATCGACGTTTTTCACATCGGCCGGAAGATGGTTTTCTGTGTCAAAATGTGTGTAAATGTGTGTGCAAATGTGTGTGTAAGTGTGTGTGTAAGTGTGTGTGTGTAAATGTGTGTGTAAGTGTGTGTGTAAATGTATGTGTAAATGTGTGTGTGTGTCTAAATGTGTGTAAGTGTGTGTGTGTGTCTAAATGTGTGTAAGTGTGTGTGTGTGTAAATGTGTGTGCAAATGTGTGTGCAAATGTGTGCGTAAATGTGTGTGCAAATGTGTGTGTAAATGTGTGTGCAAATGTGTGTGTAAATGTGTGTGCAAATGTGTGTGTAAATGTGTGTGCAAATGTGTGTGCAAATGTGTGTGTAAATGTGTGTGCAATGTGTGTGTAAATGTGTGTGCAAATGTGTGTGTAAATGTGTGTAAATGTGTGTGTAAATGTGTGTGTAAATGTGTGTAAATGTGTGTGTAAATGTGTGTAGATGTGTGTGTAAATGTGTGTGCAAATGTGTGTGTAAATGTGTAAGTGTGTCTAAATGTGTGTGTGTGTGTGTGTGCTGTGTGTGTAAATGTGTAAGTGTGTCTAAATGTGTGTGTGTGTGTGTAAATGTGTGTCTAAGTGTGTGTGTGTAAGTGTGTGTGTGTGTGTGTAGGGGTGTGTGTGTAAGTGTGTGTCATATTCTCCAGCAGCTTAGAGACAGGATGAGGAGCTCAGTCACACAGGAGGAGCTCGGAGTAGAGCCGCTGCTCCTCCACGTGGAGCAGCTGAGGCTCGGGCGTCTGTTCTGGTGTCTCCTGGACGTCTCCCTCAGGAGGTGTTCCGGGCATGTCCCACCTGGAGGAGGTCCCGGGGCAGACCCGGGACACGCCGGACAGACTAGGAACACCTTGGGTTCCCCCGAGGAGCTGGAGGACTTGTGTGTAGAAAGTGAAGTCTGGGAGGCTCTTCTCAAACTGCTGCCCCCCGACCCGACCCCCGATAAAACCGAAGAAAAAGGATGGATGGATTTACACACACATTCTGACACAGAAAACCATCAATCAGAAGTTCCACAAATGTAAAACGGGACACTTCCGGCCGCTGTGAAAAATTTACTTTACATTGAAATTGTGGCTCCTCTTTGTACCTGCTGCTCTGAGCCTCGTCATTTTGCTCTTGACCCTCTCAGGCTCAAATTAATTTTTAGTATCAGGAAAAATCTGATATTTGGGGAAAATGATCATATGGGGTAGTAATATACAATCCTGACTTTTTTATCCTTTGTAAACAACAAAAGTACTTGGCACTTCTGGCCGTTTGCATGGAGCCGTTTGCATCGTCCAC